TAAATTGGATATTTTCATCAAATCTGAAAATTGTTTTTCTCGCTGTGTATTTGAACAAAGTGTCCTAACAAAATGTGTTCTTGTTTAAACCTACCGAATTTTTGTTTTTAGTTCGGGTTAGTAATTTTGGTTTTTTCATCCGCCTATTCACCATTAGTTTTGGGGCGTTGCGTTCAAACACTTTGCCTGGATAATTATTTGCGTAGATTGGTAATTACGGTAAACTTGTTCGCGAATAGAGGTATTGAGAACATAAATGCAAAAGTTCATGAAAATTTTAATTTAAAAAAATATTGTTCTAAAAAACTGTAAGACTTGGTGTGTAAAAACTAAACGCTGGATGTTAAGTGTGTACATTTAGATTTCAATTATTTATATCTCACGAATCGTTTGACAAGAATGATGAAGATTAATGGAAAATAATATTAAAGGGTATCTCATGGTTTAGTTGGCGACCCATCGTTTAAGTTTTGTATCATTATGTTTCAATAAATTTGAAAATAAAATGAAAGAGTCTTATGTAAAATAACCGACAAAAAAATCATATCCCGAAAAAAACTTCTAAAAGTTTGATCATTTTTTTATTTATGTATTTTGTGATACCAAATTTAGCCTTACATATTTTTTCAAATAAATATCAATATTAATGATACCTAAAACTTAAATTGTTTCAGCAGCTTCTACAATAAAAATCGTATTTATAGAAAGTTTATTCCTGGAGGGTACAAAAGATTTATACGTTTAGGTTCTAACTTGTTTTTAAATCCCTTTATAGTAAAAGAAAATGAACTTTTACTTTTTTCTAATGATTTCAGTTATACATTCATTGTCTCTAAAACGATAATATCTCGAATAAATACATTGTGAATAATTTTTGCAAGTCAAAAATGTTAATTGAACATTTTTGTCTATGAAGCACTAAAAAAAGCATTACCTAGGTACTCATTATTTATTCGAATAAATCATATTCAAGTTAATTTAATTATCCACCAAAAATAATTTAATATTCTTTAACGAGTTATAACCTCATTATTTGCCAAATATTTTTATGTTTTAATATTTTTAATCGATTTTCGTTTTCAATGTTATTATTGTTCGCTTGAAATGGTTGTATTCTATTTATATAATTATATGAATAAAAATAATGTTAACGGGAAAAATGAAATACTGAATCATATTTTTTTATAGTACTTACATTGTATTCATATGGCTCTAAATTTTTTCAGTTCCAAAGCTAAACGTATTTAAGCGACTTCATCTTCGTTACAGGATTATAATATACATATATGTATGTATATATAATATTATAAACGTATTATTTTGCCTCTCTTTCTGTATTACCAATGTCGAATGAAATTATGTTTGAGGAAAACGTACTTCTGCTTTTTTACTTTGCAAGAATCAAGACAATAGTCCGTGTGTGTGTGTGTGTGTGTGTGTGTGTGTGTATAAATGTATATTTTTATTTTTAAACACTGTTATGAAATGATTCAGTACGGAGATGGATAATAAATGAAATCGAGACGAGCTTATGAGAAATGTTAGAATTATTATGTAAATGCCGTTTATTATATAGTAATAACAAAACACGAGTTCAACTTGTTTTAAAGGTAATCATTTTTTAAAAAACTCGCATTTTATTTCTCACCCAAACAAAATTAATTTACTGTTATTATTTTTTTTTATTATTATTTACAAATAATGACGCGTGTTAATCGCGTCAACTCTTGGCCGGCGAAAATTTCATGTGTTCACTCGTGTAAATAGCGTGTGTTAATATTTAATTGCAGAGGATGTTTTCGCATTAAGCAGGTGTTTTGCGGTATTATTTATTTTTTTAACGATATCAAATCCCAGCTGCGGGCATGTATCACGTCAACGTACATTCGACATTTTGTGCAAATACACTCAATTTTTCGGCGTAGCGTCTTGAGATTTATCTCAAGTCTTGTTAGAAACGTCACTACCCTCACATCAATCCACTAAAACAAATTAAAGGGCGTTTCCCAACGGCAAGATTAACGGCTCTTGATTTATGCGCTTAACGGTCCAATGGAGGCGACTTGGAAATCCCTTTCTTAATTTGGCATGCCCTCTAATGATTTGTATACGTTAAAAGTTTAGTGGTGGTCTGATACTTTATTATGTTGTGCATTGAGATATGAATGTGCATATTGTTGGTGAATATAATGAAGCATCCGGCAAGGACTTCAATTAAAATCGAATTATTGATCCGTACAGCACAAAACTGCCGTAACCTTCTCGCAAAATTATTATTTATTGATTAACAGCTCAACTGTTGTGTCTCGATAAAAACGAATGCTTTAAATTGAGAGGTATTCATTTAAGATTTATTATTAAATTTACATAATTTAATAAAACGGCTCTGGATATCCGTCGTGTGGTCTAAGCTAATACTAACCAATTTATTTCAGTGGAAACTCGAGTTAAATTTTCACGTTGAACACATCGTATGCTTAATTTGGAAACGTGTTTTAGCCGTCAATAAAAGCGAAACCCTATATTATTAACATTGAAGCTCTAAGGTTACAAGCATTGAATTATTTATAACTAGACATGCAAAATAAGTAGGTCTTCCGTTTGTTTAATTCACAAACATATATGTATAGATAACACTTAGGGGTGTGCGAACATCTATTTATTACACATATGTATTTGTGGTAGTACGACATAAATTTTGGACGTTTGAGAGTAAATGCTTCGCTGTAGTAAAATGTATTCGTTACATTTTTCAGCCGACCGGAAGTTTAATGGTAAATAATGGCAATGGCGGTGAATAGGTCAACTCCGTTCTTTCTTTATTGCTCGTTATGAACGCACAAATATTATATATGCTATTTAGCTAATTCAAAAATATTATATTATCATCGTACGTCGCCGCTCCAGCAGCAATAACAAATGTAGTACTCCATTGTCAGTAAAAAATAGGAGGTAATATATGTCTGAATTAATGCAATGTAAGTTTCACAGAGCGCATTCGTTTTTATCAATATCTGAAAAATGTCTATCGATTTGGAAGTATAAATGAACATTTTACCGAATTTATGTTAAGTAATTTATTGTGATTTGCATATAAATTTTACTTTTTCCTTCTTGATACGGTTTATTGAACCGAAAATGACATTTGATCGTTCTTACCTAAGATTAATGTACTGCATTTCGAAATGTAATTATTTTTAGATAAGACACGTAGCGTGTGTTGTCCGTTTTTAGTGTAATGTTTAGATTGCAACGTCGATTTAGATTTATAGTTGTTTTTTTTTTTTTTTTTTTTTTTTTTTTGAGAACCATAAATTTTTTTAAANAATCTTCTTAACGAAATTTACTTCAAACGTCATACTTCTATCACGTACTTGTTTTTATTGTGTATAAATACAATTTTTACGGAATTGCGTTTTATTTCACTCTCGCGTGATTTTTTCATTTTTAGAAAAATATATCTTGTAGCCTGTTGACTTACAATAATTAGCGTTCGAAGGGGTTGTTGTTATATTATTTTCTTCTGTTTGGATGTTTTACGGTTCAGGTATCCAACGGGGTGCTCCAGCTGCGATTGGCGGTCACGGGAAAGAAAAGTGTGGGTGTTGTACGCACGTGCTTGGTCATTGACCTCGGTAGTGGGCTGTGCGTGAGTGGGTCACACGACTATCTTGGCGGCCTTGCGCACGGGGTAGGCCAAATTCGACCAGACTTCGTCTCCCCACGTCTACCCCGACGATTTCGTGTATTGCCGCTAAGCGCTCATGTCATCTTTATCGCTTATCTCCTTTGTAGTGTCTCTGTTTTTTATTGCTATGTACCTTTGATCTCTATTGTTTTACCTTTTATTAATTATGCCAAAAACTGATGTTTGACAACTTCGAGTTGACACAGCTTTTTATTACACTGTTCGGTTTGCTTTGAATTAAAAGCCGACCAATCGCATTCGATATTTTTGTTACGCAATTTGGACAAGAGCAGACCTTAACATTAACGATAGGAGCGCTTAACATGTTTGGATTGTTCCTCCCCTGAAAATGAAAACTGCTAGCCGTTTATGAACTTGTAAAAATGTATAGTTTTATACGTTTTATATTTCTGAGTTAAAACTTGTACTTAAAAACCAATTAGCTACCTGTATTTACAATCCCATGTGTATTATACATGTATATTAACTTAAAATTTTGAAACTTTAAATGTTAATATCTAATAAGCTAATAAAGTTATATTAAAAATTCAAATGCCATTTACTATTAAATTAAAAACTCAAACATTTTATTAAATTAAAAATATGTGTTACCATTTAAAAAAACAAAGTTGACCCCTCCCCCAAGGCATAAGGGATGAACTTAAAAAGTATTACATAGTTAAAAATTCAAGAATAATGTGCAACTAAAGATAATAAAAAAAAAAAATGTTTAAATTATTATTATTCTGCAAGTAATTGAGTGGGTTATGATAAAAAAATCACCCTGTATACTAAAATACATGACGTACATTTATAATAAAATTGACATTTAATTATACATTTTGATGTTGGTGTACATTAAAAATAATGCATAGTTTTTTTTATAAAAATACTTTCAACTTTTATGGTTTAGTATGAAATGCTTGAACTATGATGTATTTATATTATAGTTTATTTCTATAATTGCATAATTTTGGAACTTATTTGTAATAGATCATCATTGCTTACGCAAACATCTAGAATTTAATAATTACTTTAGATAAAACTAATCTAATTTATTTAAATACTCTTAGTTCGTAGGAGAATAAATTATTAAGTTTAAAATTAGTAAAATAATGTAATATTATTCATATTTGTATATAATAATTCGACATTTTTATTTGAAACAGTTAGATAGACTAATAGACTTAAAATTCAAATTTAAATCGTTTACAATAATTAATTTTCAAATGTCACAAACTGTTAAAAATACTTAATGCAACATAATGACTTCTTTAGAATGTACTTATTTAATTTTAAATTCATTTTTTAGGCAAATCTCCTTTTTTTCAAAACCTTGATGACCAAACTGGCCTACTGGATGATTCTGGATCTCATCTAATTGATACATCCGTACAAGCTCTCACTTCGCCGTCACGATCATCTCCTCATAGTCAAGGATCGGAGAGCAGTGAACGCTTTTCAAGAAAAGTATTTGTCGGCGGCTTGCCACCAGATATAGATGAAGGTTTATTAAAATTCATATGTTTATTAACATTTTTATTAATTTAATTATTTTCATTTAGATGAAATAACAGCAAGTTTTCGCAGATTTGGCCAATTAGTCGTTGACTGGCCTCACAAAGCTGAAAGCAAATCATACTTTCCTCCTAAAGGATACGCATTTCTTTTGTTCCAGGTAACTTAATAAGTGCCTTTTCTTATTTTATATGATCATGATGGTAGTTACGACGTATAACCTAAAACGAATATTAAATTCGTTTATGTGATTTATATGTAAATAATTTATGTTTAGGATGAGTCGTCTGTTCAACAGTTAATTGATGCTTGTATTCAAGATGAAGATAAACTGTACTTGTGTGTGTCATCCCCAACAATCAAAGATAAACCTGTACAAATTAGACCTTGGCGATTATCCGATGCAGATTTTGTGTTAGATGCATCTATGCCATTAGATCCACGAAAAACTGTTTTCGTAGGTGGTGTACCGAGACCTTTAAAAGCAGGTGAATAAATAAATGTATTTTCTATGTGCATTTAATTTTATACTATAAAAAAGAACGATGTAGTTTTGATTTTTAGCAATTTTTTTTATATATAGTAAATGTTTAAATTGTTTACAATTTTTGGGGTACATGAAAGTTTATTATATTTCTTTACTTATGTTTTATTCTTCTTTATTAGTGGAATTGGCTATGATTATGGATAGACTCTATGGTGGTGTATGTTATGCCGGAATCGACACAGACCCAGAGCTGAAGTATCCAAAAGGAGCTGGTAGAGTGGCATTTAGTAACCAACAAAGTTACATTGCTGCTATTAGCGCACGTTTTGTCCAACTTCAACATGGAGACATTGACAAAAGAGTAAGCTTTTAGTTAAAAACTATTTTTGGAATAAAAGCTATTTTAATTTATTATTAGTAAAAATATATTTTAATTAACTATTTTCATTAAAGGTCGAAGTAAAACCATATGTGCTTGATGATCAGATGTGCGATGAGTGTCAAGGACAGAGATGTGGAGGAAAATTTGCTCCATTCTTTTGTGCTAATGTCACTTGTTTACAAGTAAGTAAATTACAATTTCTACGAATATAGTTAAAACCACTTATATTATTTATGCTATTATAACAAATTAAAAATTATTAAAATAAAAATTATATACACTTTTAGTATTATTGCGAACTATGTTGGGCGACAATCCATTCAAGACCTGGCCGTGAATTCCATAAACCACTAGTTAAAGAAGGTGCAGAACGTCCAAGAACTGTACCATTTCGTTGGTCATAACGTAAGGTTCCAAAACGAGTAGTCACATTTTATTAATCCACTAAATTTGTTTTGTTTTGTTTTATTATTCTTACGCATGTTTATACAAATGATATGAAAAATTTAATTTTTTAAGTAGTCTTTTTAAAACCTGTCGTTTTTTAATGCGAAAACTATTTTATAAAATTTTTAAATCTACCTTTATTATGCAAAGATGCCTCTGACTTAGGAAAATTGACTTCTTTAGGACTATTTTTAAATATTCAGGGTAAACACAATGAAAGGGCTCTTTTCATCGAGCAAAAACGAATTGTAATAGTACTACAAATGATTTGTATAAGTACTGTTTTAACCTTCCAAAGAACTTGGATTTTGTTTGTTATGGAAATTTTCATTTTATTTTATTGTTTTTCTCTATTAGACTTAGTAATAATGTAACTTCCAAAAAAGATTTTTATTATTCATATTTTTTTTATGACCTAGGTAACTTAAGAGTTTTGTTTTTATTTTATTTGAAGTTTATTGTTTTTAGATAATTTGTTTAATTACTGCCACCTTTTTATCATACATTTTTTATAGTTATTGTTTTCATTTTCTTAAAAGTTTTTAATATATACAAATTTATATATAAAAATTAAAAAATAATATTAGCATTTCATTTTAATTAAATTGTTATATTATCATTTTTATGATGTAAACACTCATTTCCTCAAACTTTTTTCATGAAATGATTATTATCTTTATCTACTTCTATTTTTGTGGGCAATAGTGTATGGAATTACCAAAATATCTATTTGATATTGCGGACATGGACCACAGATGTTACCTATAGCAATCGAAATTCTTAAAATTTAATTATCATTGTGCAATGTTTTTAAAATTATTATAAGCATATTTCATTACAAATTAATTTTTAGGTATATCCTTTTCCTAGTTTTTTTGTTTAAAATAAAAATATACAATAGCAAATTGAACTAATACAATGTTAAATATATTTTTCTACTTCTTTTTATATTATTTAGGCAGCTTCGTTACGTCTTTAGCCTAGTTACCAATTCTAAAAAGTTAAATTTAACAACACTAATGGAAACTGATGTTTTATCATCAAAATTTGTATTACCTTTTTTAAATAAAAATAAATAACGTTTGTTGAATGTTATTTAGTTTTCAGAAGTTTTTAATGTTTTGTTATTTGTTTTTTTATATGAATAGTATTTAGTTTTTAATAACCTACCTTTATTTTTTATAACAATTCTATATATTTTTAATATATTATTATACTCTTTACCCTTATTAGTCTGGTAATTTTTATTTCTATTTGATGTCTGATCTTATCTATGTCATGAATTAAGATTATGATGTTGTTGATATTTAAATACTTAATATGCAATATAAAATTAATTCCTATTGATTAACTTCAGAATTTTATCCTGAGAACATTTTTATTAGTATTTTTAAAATCAATTTTAACTGTTTTTCTAACCAAATACAACAAAATAAGACTGGCAAAGAATAAAAGCTTTTTAGAATTTTCTAATGTAGATAATATACTTCTCTAAAATTATTAATACTAGTCATAATTTTTACTTATTTCATTAATGAAATAAATCATAAAACTTGTTTTTTATTGCTATTACATCTACCTTTAAAAATAATTTCAACTCCATTCTCCATATTGTTCTTAAAAAGTAGCTAAATTTTGTTCTTTGCCAATTTTTAATTTTGAAATATTTTTTTTATATATATTTTCAATGTCCTTCTTATGGTATTTTACAAAAATTATGAACTAGAAAATTTTAAAAATAATTGTGAATCTTTTAATTCATACAATTTTTAAAAAGTGACTCAATAAACTTGTTTTTTTTATACTTAAAATATTATTGCAGACAATTAAAATTATTACATATTACATGTGTAGGTTTGTTTCATAATTTGAATTTGTGACATCAAACAAATTAATCAAAATAATTTATAAGTGCTAATTTCATATTGTACTTAAACTTATCAACATGTTAATAGATTTTTTAAAAATTGAGAAAATAAATGACTTTATTAATAAATAAATTTAAACTGCACACATAGTATTAAAAATTACATTTCACATTTTACATTGTACATAAAAAATATGGTCTAGGAAATTATTGTTATTTTCTAATTATTTTTTTCATTTATTCGGAGAGAAAATTTTAGTGTAATTTTTATTATGAATTGAAATATTTTTTATTGCACTTAATAAAATAGTGAATTTTTCATTATATTTATATTATATTAGTTTAATAGAGGTAATATTTAAAATAAATATTTATCACATACATATATCTTTGTGTAGATATATATTTGATTTTTGGAAATAGAATTAATATTTTGGCAGTCACATGTTCTAGTTTCTAGTCAAATTATCATTAGCCCTTAATGTTCCTAAACAGAGGAGCCATATTTATTTAATTATATTTTCATGTAGGCAATAACTATACTTTTTTCTTAATCAGTTTTCAATAAAGAAAAATTAATTGTTGATTTTTTAAACAATTTTAAAGGTTTATGTAACTTTTCAACATTATTACTTTACTTTTTTATGTCGACAAAAATATATTTTATTAATTATTATATTATACAAAAAATAAAAGTAGAAAAAATAGTTGAATTTCATACCTAATAAATGCATAATTTGAAGTGTTCAATGGTGTTTTTTAATATCTGTTTGTTAAATTAGTGTTTTGGCTTGTGTGGGTTTGCCGTAGGGAAATGTAACATTTTTTTAACTGAGATAAAAAATTAATATATAATCATATTACATCATATAAAATACTTGATATTAAATTATACAAACATTTCTTAATATAATTTCACTGGTCATTCAGACAAACATGTAATTGGCTGTGACGCAGTATTTTATACATCATCTATTTTTAAATTTTATAGCGCTCGTTTAAATAAATCTTATTGTTAACTAATTTTCTTTTAATTTAAATTACTTTTATTTTTGAGGGATTGATGTGCATATTAGCTCTGTACCCGTTAAATATTTCAAAGTCAATTTTCAAAATAATTTTAGTATGATTATGTCCGATTTTTTGTAAGGGTTTGGTTACCACTTATTCTTCTCAAATAGTTCAATTTTCCTCAGTGTAAATAAATATATTTCGGATTTTATTATTTCTTATGATAATAGAACATTAACAAATTATATCCAGTTGGATTTTTTTAAATAATTGTTATTTTATAGTTGGTTTATATTTTTATTTTATATTTTTTTATAAGCTCAATTTAACCTTCCATGTAATAAATTAAACAAATATATTGCTATAAACACATTCAATAATAATAAATTTCAAGAACTAAATATTATTCACAATACTAATATTAAACTCTTAGTATTAAAAGTTTCTTAAGGTTTTTTTTAATGATACATGTTCAAAAATATGTGTATTATTTTGTTACACGTTTCTTTTCTATTAAAAAAAGACTAATAATTATAACTTTTGTATTAAATCACAGACAAGTTGATGATTTTAAAAATGTTTAATTGATTATTGTTTTGTAATTTTTTTTTTTTACACAACATTTAAAAATTATCTTAACTGTGATATCATTATTGAGAATGATTAAAAGCAGGCATGGTTTTATAATTAATTTATAATCATTTTTACTATTTATGTATAACAATGTCAACCGTACAATGATCTCTTGTTCAAATAAAAAGATACATAGTAGTTAAAATGTTTTATATAAACTTTTTTTTAGTTAGATCTTATTTATAAACCATGTTCTTTTTTAAAATATAACAAATTTTAATGATAACTATACATTATATTTTTTATAATTTGTATCTCATTTTCATGTTTTTTATGTCTGTGTTATTTCTTTTGAATCATTAACCATTTTATTAATTACCAGCATAGAGGAAACGTGAAACCTGAGTCAACCATTTTACTTTTTATTTACATTACATTTAATCATTTATTAAAATAGGAATTAAAGGATTATACTGTAGTAAAATGTCAAAAAGAAAATTAAACTCTTAATTAGTAAAGTTTAGATAAATGCTAACATAGCCTATGCTAAATTATATTATTTGTGTGCATTTTTTCATCACTCCTATTTTTTATGAATTTTGTACGTTTTTTCTAATCATTTTTTTGTATACTATGTATTTTTAATGCAGTAATGTTGGATAGAACTTTTAAAACTATTTAATTTTTTTCGATGTATTGTTCATGAATTAAGAATATTTTATTTCTTCAATGATTTTATGTACTGATGAGTTGTACTTTTTAATTGTAATACTGTCCAACTTGCTTTTCCCGGTAACTTACCCTAATATCTCATAGGGTCTTTTTATGGTTTTTTGTTTTGTTTTGTTTTATAAAGTCATTGTAATAATTTATATCCATATTAAAAAAATTATGATAAATTAAATGTGTTTTTTTTTTCATACAACAATTTAACAGTTTTTGTTTTTTTGTTAATATGGAATCTTAATTTTATAACTATCATAAAATATGATACTATGGTAAATTGTAAATGGGAAAAAAATTTTTTTTTCATTTAATAGTAGCATTTTGTTCTTATTACATATTCTAAAAAGAGCCGAAATGAACTTTTTCCAAGATAAAATTCTAATAAGAAAATTTATTAAAAATCTAGTCAAAATAATAAAAAATGAAATTAGCCCCGAACCTTAAATTGTGTCAATCCATTCCAAGAAAGTATCACCTTAATTTTCCTAGATAAAAAAAATCTTGATTTTAATTTTTTTTAATTATTACAACTAGATTCCTAATAAATTGACACGACTTACGCCGCAATAACGTAGTCGACACTTGTTTTGAGGGTAGAGACCCGTAGGCCGTTTATTATTCAACAACAACAGATTTAAAAAAACGAAAAGACAAACACAATTCACAGTCGCATGATATCGCGGCACTTTTGCTGTTGTCGGAGACGCGGTGTCCGCCTATGATACTCGAACGTCAAAAAGTTAGCAGCGTTGTTGGCGATGGTGTGCGAGTGTGGATCAGTTTGTCGAGTCCGGTAGTGTGGCACATCCGGAGCCGGTGGCGTCACATTGACAACGGGAAGAAGACTCAACGTGTCATTTGCGCCGGGTCGTCGTCGGCCGTGCGGCACTGCACCGTGGCGTATGGCACGCGGTGTTGATCAGTCAAATAATCATAGTAGGGCGACGGCTGATAAAGGTGGCACGAGTCGCGGGGCCGTGTCAAAATCTACCCTTTATCTTAGATGCATGATCAAATTACACAATGATGACGAAAATAAATAAAAAATGTAAAACACATTTTTTTCGCTTAAAGAAGGTACCTAGTGAAATGAAATTTTACTTAGTACATCCTCCTGGAAAAAATTTTAGTGACGCCTTTTGTAATTATAATAAATATTTTACACAATTTGTTATAGGATAAAGTATACATTATTTGCAGCGGTATAGATATTGGAATATTTTTAACTACTTTTGCCCAAATTAAATTTTTTCTAGGCTGTGAATGGTACTATAATAAATTTAAAGAGAGCCAATAATTGGCTGATCTGAATAACATTAGTTCTTATGGAAATTTCCAGTAACTATATATTTAAAAAAATCTATTATTAAAAAAAAGTTATTGAACTTACACGAATTCTGAAAGCATAATTCGAATTCTAATAACATTCTTGATTTATAAAAACCGATACGAAAAATTCAAAATTTGTGACTAAATAAATATACTGATTAAAACCTAGGTAATTTCCTCTGAGGTGTCAATTATAATACATTACCCTAGTAGATTATAAATAAATGTCTTATTTGTAATATATGTATGTAGTTAAATTATGAACATGGTTTGAATACTTTATCTTTGTGGCTATAGTCCTATTCTTTGTTAATAATTCTGAATAATAGAACTGTTAGGGTTTTCTCATTAGTGGAAATGAGGGGAAGGCTTCGCTCTCCTCCAAAAAATTGTTTAGAAAATCATATGTATTTTTATATTAAAACATTTTAGAGTGGAAGAAAATATTAATAGAAGATATATATGATGGCACTTGTAGAAAGCGTAAGAGTAACAGAAGGTTTTCGGGTAAGAGTAAGAGTGCATCAGGGTTCTGCTTTAAGCCCTTACTTATTTTCTATAGTGATGGATGAAATTACTAGAGAAATACAAGGAGAGGTGCCGTGGTGCATGTTGTTTGCTGACGATATAATGTTAATAGGAGAAAATAGGGAGGAAATTAATCAAAGGCGTGGAGGTGAGCTCTTGAAGAAAAGGGTTTAAGAATAAGTAGAAGTAAGACAGAGTATATAGAGTACGAGTTTGACAAAGGAAAACACGAGGTAGGTGAAATGAGGAGATCAGTGACAATAGACGAGGACGTGATTGGAGAGGTGGAATGTTTTAAGTATTTAAGGTCAATTGTGGAAAAGAGCAGTGGTATTGACGAGGATGTAAGACACAGGTTTAAGTGCGGGTGGTTGAAGTGAAGAGAAGCGTCTGACGTCTTATGCGATATATGAATTTCAATGCGATTGAAAGGTAAATTCTACAAGACTATTGTGAGGCCAGCTATGATGTATGGTTCAGAGTGTTGGGCGGTTGATAAGATAGTAGAGCAGAGATGAGAATGCTTAGATGGATGAATGGAGTGACTAGAGAAGATAGGATAAGGAACGAGTATATAAGAGGGAGTATAGACTTAGATGGTTTGGTCATGTTATGAGGAAAAAAGAATCGAAAGCTGTAAGAGCAGTTATAGAAATGAATGTTGAAGGAAGAGAGGTAGAGGAAGACCAAAAAAGAGATGGGGGCATGCTTTTTAATGCGATATGAGGACAGCTGATATGGGAGATGGTGTCAAGTGGAAGTTTAGGATAAGGGTGGTCGACCCAAAGTAGTTAGAATTAAGGCGAGGAAGAAGAAGAAAATATTAAAATATATCATTCATTTTCCCAAAATATTTATTATATTTCTCCTCATGGAATTTCTTTATTACATTGATTTGTTTTCTCTTTGTTTCTTTTTTTCTTCCCCAATAAAAATCAACTTTTAAATCTATTTTACTAGCAAACTAAGTGAATAAGTTTAATATTTGAAATATTTTATATTTCTATGGCAGAAATAGCGTAAAGGATGTTTAAAGTGTTCCATTATACAAAAGCTCTCATCATAGTCGTCTGGTGAGGCGGAGCTAGGGGACCCCATTTTATAATTTAGTTCCCATCCAGAAATATGGCAAAATTAAATGAATTGTTATATAAACATAAATAAAATCAAATTTAGTCTCCAAAAAAATTTATCACTTGCACCTATGCCGCTCATTTTAAAAAGCATGGACTCCTATTTGAGTCATCAGCTATGATGACTCAAATAGTCATATGCTGGACATATGATATAAAGAGTGAAAAAATAAAAAAATATTGAAACTATTTTATAAGTAATTCATATTTTGTAACTTTTTTTTTCTCCAAACTTTATTTTAGTGATAAATATTACAATCAAAAGGGTATGACAACTGTGACCCCTTAGCTACACAACTAATGTCCTATTATATAAACATAAAATTTAACATATTATTATAAATACATTAAATATATATAATAATATTTTCATAAATATATATTTATGAAAATGTTTACACAAATCTCTATAATTTTAATTATGTTTTTTTTTTTAATTCTATTTTGACACCTACTCTTGACGTATAATAAATAATTGTCATACCTATTTACCAATTAATCGTTGAAAAAAAATTTTATAAATCTGAATTACTTATATCTTATTTGCATTAACAAATAATGAATATTATCAAAAAATATATAATTGTAATTATACTTTAAAGATTAAAAAAATAACCTCAATATTTTTAATAGTGACAAAAAGTCAAGGGGGCACCCGGGTTTGAACCGGGGACCTCTCGATCTGCAGTCGAATGCTCTACCACTGAGCTATACCCCCAACGTGATGAAATCGTTCATTTTTAATGCTTATAGGCTAAATAGTTGTTTTTTTTTAATATTTTCCTAATTTTAGTAGTTATAATTTTATTATTAAACTTTATTTTCTATAGAAAAACAAATAATTCATACCATTACATAACTAGCTAAATATCTTTTAGTAGTATGATTTACAATATTATAGTATATAAAATACAGTTGTATAATGAAAATTGATTGAGAAATTTAGTAGAAATATAAATAAATTTAATTTGGAATTAAAGTTTTATTAACACTGTATATTAATTATTCTAATTGAATAAATAACTATAATTATGTTAAAATAAGTTTTAATTTTAATTCTTAATAATCATTAGAAAACATTTATATTCAGGAATCATGGACGTCCACAGAGGAGATAAAGGCATCTTTTGGGCTTTACTTGGTTAATTTTTTTAATAATTGTATATTATTAAAATTTTTTTATTAAAAGATAAAAATTTAATTTCAATTAAATAATATTGAATAATAATATTAAGAACATTGTTTCATTATAAATTAATAACAAATAGATTAGAATTTTATTTATTAAATTTATAGACATTTAGTCATATAAGAAACGTATAAAACCACTCAAAAATCTTTTATTTAAACATTTCTTTCTGCAAAGCTCATAAGTGCCTTATAGAAGAACACTATTGAAGTTGCTAAATGTATTTTCTCCCAACCTTAACAAACATTATGTATATGAAAACATATTACTTTTTATTTTTTTGGGAGCTAATTCGTTATTTGAGAGAGGAGGCTAAGCTCTTCCTTGTTGTGCCTATAGCAAGACCTCTAAAAATGCTTGGTTAACTGGCTGTGGACCCTTGATACCAACTTTCTACACATGTTTGTTGAGCGTACACTAAAAGCATATATTCAGAAAAATATTTTGTCGTCCATAAAATATGTCTGCAAATGCCCTTGTAAAGGATGTTTATTGTTTACATTTAAAATTCTAAAAGTAAAAAAGAAACAATAAAAGTATAATTGTTTTAAATTAGTTATGATATTTTAATTTTGTTTTAAATAACCAAGATATTACAAATAAATACAACACAAAATTTAAAAATTTCTTTCTATTTAAAAATATGTAGAACATTATGGTAAATATAACAATTTACTTTAATTTAAACAACATTATAATTCTAGGCTTACTAACCAAAAAATTAAAAAAGTATCAAAAAAATGAAATTGTTATAAGTACACGAATAGTACAAAGAATTAAGAAAAATATATATTTAGGAATATCAGTTCTTTATGATGCTATCCAATTCATTTTTAATTGCTATGACACCTTCAATTAATGGACTTTGAGCAAAGCGACTGTATAACATATTTTGGCAAATAACTAACAAATCAAACAAATTAACTGCTATTGATCTTCTGCAATGAAAAATTAATTAGTACAAATTTCTAAGAAGTTAAAACTAAATTGTAACTACCTTTGCATTCCTGAAGGCCATAAATCAACATTTTGTAGGTAGTAACGAGCTAAGCTCATAATAACTTCTAAAACATGTAATTCACTAGTTTTTTGCCAGCGTGGATCATTAGTTGAATAGATTCTATTAAAAACAAGAAGTAAAATTCATTACCTATTTTTCTTAACGATTATCTATGATTTTAAGTGTAAAATTTGACTAACTTTTTGTAAATTGATACTAGAGATTCAATTGGGGCCCCAACAGACAACATTGTTGTGTAGACATATTCTAAGTCACCGCCCAAGTTACAGTTCAAATATTCTAACATGGTAGTTACATATTCTAAAAATTAAAAAATAAATAAAATTATATTATACAACAATTAACAAACTCTAAACTAACAAGGGGAGGTCACAGTGATGGGATCACTGATTTTCATAAAATTTATATAAATCTAAACTATATTGAATACAAAATAAGAGGTATTTTGAATTTTTTGCTAATGCCCCCCCTAAGTCGATAAAATTGACTTTGAAAATTTTTAATTAGCTTAAATAGGGTCATTTTTCTATCATAGACAATAATGTGTTGTGGTCGAATTGAGATTACGTAATTTTATGACCCGTACGGATTCGGGATCAAGTCAAGTCTCATCAGGTTGAGTTTTTTTGCATTTTTTTTCTAAATTTTTTCAATGTGTTTTCTTTGAATTATTAATTTTACATGATATTTGTAATTTTTTTTTTTACATTTTATGCATCTACAGGTTGTTTAGTAAGTTAGGAAACAGGTAAATTGTTAAAATCAATGAGAACAATGTAAACCCATTTCCTTACTTACTGAACATTCTGTATATAGTTAAACCTTTCAAAAATTTCTCTCATTTAAAAATGTATATACTTTTACCAGGTTAATATTAAATTAAGTTATATATATGTGCATAAAATATTATTTTATTTTATTCATATTTTATCACTGAAAAATCGATAATTTGTACCATCAAATATGTTTTGAATGTAAATAGAACTATATCGTATTATGTAAAATTAATAATTCAAAGAGAAAACCATGGAAAAAATTAAGAAAAAATCTACTACCTGACGGGAATTGATTCGTATCCGTGTGCATCATAGAATCACATATCCTCAATTCGACCATAACAGGTTTCTGTGTATTATTATCTGTGGAAGAAAAATGACCCTATTTTAGCTAATTAAAAATTTTCAAAGTCAATTTTCTCGACTTAGGGGGCATTGGCAAAAAATTCAAAATACCTCTTATTTTGTATTCAATATAGTTTAGATTTATATAAATTTTATGAAAATCGGTGACCCCATTACCGTGACCTCCCCTTGTAAGTATAAAATAACATACCTAAATCAAAAGTAGAAGAATTAATAGGATGAGAACTGGCTAATGATTTGACTTTTTCTAAAGCAATAGTCATCTTGTTATGTTCTCCAATATCACCACAATCTTCAACAACTAAAATTTATTGCAATATGTAAATGAAACACAAATAATAATAGTAAAAAAAAATCAGAGTACCTTTAAGTAATATATTTTCCCATATTTGATTTATTAACTCACGATCATCATGATTAGATAGTTGGAATATTGCTAGTTGTGCTTCCCATATTTTATATGGCTCAGCAAATTGACTATAGAGCTGGAAATATAAAAATTTAAATAACTGAAGAGCATACTACATATAAATATTATGTAGTAGCCAAATAATAAAAACAAATTTTAAGAAAATGAAGTGTAGAGCTTTTATCAATATTCACTTATACTAGGAAATATATAATCTAAAATTTGGAAAAAAAATTTAAATATTAATATTTTGTTGACAATTTTAGAAGGGAAACTAAATAAATAATTACAATGTTCACTAAATAAAAATTTTGTTATAAATAATCTAAAACTAAACCAAATTATTCAAATAATATGAAAAATACTAACATCACCTAATGTATACAGTCTGCAATTCAGTTTTTCAATAATATCAATTTTTCCATCAATTTGGCAAGATGATATCAAATCTAATATCTATTATAAAATAATGTAATATGTTATTACCATTATTATTTCATTCAAAAATAATGCAAGAATTACCATTTTTTGAATTTCTGCTACTTGTAATAAATCTTCAACTTCTCTAAGACTTGTAGCACTTAAAGCTGGTGTACTCAATTTTTTACTTCTTAAACATGCCATTGCTCTTCCCAAATACATCAAACGATCATTTAGATTTAAACCACCTCTACAAATATAAATTAAAATGAGTACAATACTTAAAAAATCCAATTTATTTTAATTCATTATTTTAATTATTGTATGATTATATAGTGTCCTATAAGTTTTTTGTCCAATCATATAACTGTTAATTTTTATAATTTTATTCTAATTTAATATTTGTTAATAATTGATATTTTAAGCAAAAACATCTACTCGGTCAGTTGTTCGGCGTAGTCTAGCATAGCATCAACATTAAGTCACATGAGCAATGGAGAGCAACATCGCACTACTATTCTACTGAACAGATCTTTATTAATTTATATGCATTTTGTTTTAATGAGGCAATTGACAGATCTAGTTAATATCTAGTTAGGCTTTATAGAATTATAACTTAAGCATATTTTATTTTATGAAAATAAAAATTTAAGGTAGCCAAATTTAACTCCATTCTTACAGAAAAAAATATTGATAGGGGTTGATATTAAAAACCAATATTAAAATAATTTTAATACTTAAAAAAAAATAAGTTTTTTATGCTAAATGTTAATTATAATTTGTATGTTAAATAAATAATCAAAAATATTTAAATATAATAATAATAATAAACTGTTTTAGACTAATGTTGAGGTCAGCTAAATAAACATAAACAGCTAAATGTTATGGAATCAACTGCTGATATACAGATAATGGTCGTCGTTGTACTTTTAAAAATTATTCTATGATGATAAAAATTATTATTAATATTAATATTTTAATAATTAAAATATTTTTTTCGTTTATTTCTTCATAATTAATCTTTATTTCACGAGGAAAAATTTAGTCAAATAAATTAGAAAATTATAGTGATTAAAAACTGTTCAATGTTCCAAAGAAACAATTTAAGAGAATATTATATATTTAAAATAGCAAAAATATGATATAGTAAAAAACAAAAAAAAAAAAAAACAGTAAGAATCCAGTAATGAAAAAATGAACCATTATTTAGATTAGTGTTGATTAAAATCAGACAGTGATTATTAAAATTACTCTCGTATAACACTTACTGTATTAACTCTTACTGTATTTTTATTTTTGGTTTTTACTATATCATATTTTTGCTATTTTAAATGTTTATTTGAAAAAATGTTTATTATATCTGCCAAACATTACACATTCTATGATATTAGTGTTTGATTAATCATAAAAGATAAATCATCATCTTTTTTTGTTTTTAATTATGTATTAAATTAAACAAGCTTAAATTTAAAATAATTTAGAATGATGTAAGTATTCTGTTGCTATGCAAAATACTACTAAATTGGCTAGTTTTATCAAAAATTAAATGATTTTTGGCTTTAATGCCCAATAGTTTCTATATATCGGGATATTATAAAATTTATTTTTCATATTAGAGAAAATTGTATTAGCTTCAATTTAATATAGGTTTTGAAAAATTTATGAAAATAAAAGAATTATATATGATGATTATGATTATTATTTTGACTATGATTATTATTTTATTTTTATATATATAATTATTTTGATTTATGATAGGGTTTTCAAAAAAAATATGTCGAAAGTAAGGTATTTATCTTAATTATTACACAAAATATTTTATTTTGATCCATACATTATTCAAGTAGTTTGAGCAATTTAAATATAACTATTAAATCCAACAAAAATTACATAATTATCATTTTTAGAGGCTGATTACTCATATGTTGACATGAGTAATTGGCAAGAAATATCGTTGAAATATTTTTCTTTTTTTTAATTGTATAGTACATAAATAAACTTTAAATTTGAATTGTGTAGATATTCTGTTGCTAAACAAAAAAACTCACAAAAGCTCTCACAATACTATAATTAATGACTGTATTTTCAAACAAAAAAATGTCATGAAGGCAAATATTTGAAATGTTATCAATAAAAATTTCACAATAACCCATCTTGTTTTTGAAAAGTTATTTAAATTTATTAGGAAAACTAAAATATCAAGATTGACTGTTTTATGACAACTGTAATTTTTTGGGACATTTCTTTATTACTGGGACTAAGGGGAATTATTTAAAATTAGGATGCTGATAGCATCAACTAAATAAGTTTTGTGATCTTTTGACAACATATCATTGAGCAAAATCGGTCAAGTAGGAGATGAGGTATTGGCATGCCAAGAACAAAATAAAACTAATAGCTTTTCATCAAAGATAAAAAAAATAAAGTAATATTTACTCTGGTTTTTTTGCAAGTGATGCTAAAACTTCAGCAGCCTCATTATAGTTACCATTATACTCATAATATCTACAAAGTACATCTTTGATATAATTATTAGAATCGTCACTTCTAGACTGAGACAACAAGAATTTTTCTAAACTATGATTTCCCATTTCAATTGTTTCTCTGATCAATTTTTTATCAATTAACCACCTATACACAACAGTGTGCATAATTTCATCTTCACATGTAATACATAATTTAATTAACTCTGATATCTGAAAAATAATTATAAGTTAATATATTTCAATGAATAATTTAATATCAAAATCAAATAAGAATAAACCATTTGATAAGCTAACATTTTTTTTAATAGAGGCAATGGATAATTTATTTAAAAAATATCAATCATTTAATCTATTTAAAAAACAAATTGTTATATACATCAATTAAATAAATAAATGTTTATTTTACCAAATTAGATGCTTGTTCTGGAGTTAGTGCAGAATTTTCCAATATTCCAGAAACTATATTAGGTCTAGTAGGAATGACCACAGAAGGATTTTTAATCATAATTGAGTAAAGGTAATCTAAGCTGGCACTAATTTCTTTATAAATATCTAATCTATAAATAATAGTAATTTTATTTTTATAAAATCAATAAAACAAATGATTAGTATAAATAAAAATATACCTTAACATGTATGCACCATATCCAGGACTATCTCTATCTAAAACCATACTGTTAATAAAATAATGACCTCCTAGATTTTTTGGATCAGTTTTTCTAGCACATTCTCTACACATCTGATATACACCTTCCATATAAGCACAATTTGTGTATTGAAGACACACAGATGTTAAATTTAATTTAGGTGCAACTTCTTTTAAAACCTAAAATATAAGTTTACATATTTTTTTTTTATTCATTAACATAACTAACTAGTTTTAAATATTTTAATTTATTAGAGACGAATCAAAGATTAAATTCTATTTAAAATATAGATGAATATTAATGAACAAATATATATTAATTCACTGAATATTTCTCAAAAGTTATTTCAATTTTTTTTAATTCTCTAAAACACTTATTTTCCTCATATCACTCTCCTTAAAAATAATACATATAAATAATATATAATTATGATAAATACCACAAGTGATTGGTATAAAATTCGTTTACGTTCATCTTCATTAATTGTGGACTGCGCCAACTTAATCATTTCTGAAGCCTGTAATATAAGTGTTTTAACAGTTCTAGAACAAAGTTAATAACAATAAAACGTAAATAAATTTTACTTTAGCACATGCAGCATCTTCAGATTGATATATAGATGGACAAACTTGACGTAATTTAGTACTAATTGATTCCACAGATGAACTTTCATTTAAATACCTGAGTATAAAAAATATTTCATAGGTATAAATATTATAATATACAATAATATTAGTACATAAAAATAGTTTATGAGTATATAATAATTTTTTAATTTATGCTGAAGTATAGATAAATTCAAGTTTTCAAAAATTAAATTACTAAACTAATATCCAGAAGTTGAAAAAAAGAAAACAATAATAAATTCTAAAATATTAAGTCTCAACTAAATTACTAATATTTAACTAATAAACTATATTCTTGAAAAAGAACTTGGTATTTAGACAATGGTATCTCTACAATAAATTTTAATAAAACACAAAGATCAAATTTCGTATGAAAAATTACATGAGTTCAGAGAATGGAAAGACAAGAAAATACGGATGGACTAAGATTTAGTTTTTATAGTCACTATCATCCGAAAAAACATTATTTTTTCCTTAATATTTAACAAAAAAATCTTTATATTTTTCATATCAAATAATAATTAATATTTATATTTAGGAATAACACTTACATATCCAAAAGTTTTTGTACTAATATCTGGCACATTTCTTGATGAACAAGTACTAAATCTTTGAAAATCACATTTTCAAGAATAACTTTTTCTTGCTGAAATTTATTAAATAAAATAAATATTAGAACTCTGATAACAACTTATTGTTTATAGAAAAATACTTACATCATTTAGTTTGTTAGCAATTATATAAAATTGATGTTCACTTAACAATTTCCATAAATTAAATACTTCAGCACTACGTGTAACCAATTGCTTTAAGCATTCAATTGATTTTGACTCTGACTGATAAGCATCTTGTGTTGCTGGTCGTCTGGATATATCATTTGAAATTTTCGAATAGCTAGCTAACATTTTTGAATAATTGTTCATGAAAGAATGTAAAGTTTGCAAGTGACTTGCCACAAATGAACAGTCATCAGGAGACACGGTATTAACAATCTAAAAAACATTTTTAGAAATCGAAATTATAATTTATCATGTTTAGTTTCAAAATAATAATATTAATTGAAAATGTTTAATTATTATTTATAAGAACTTACATAAGTTTTTCCATCAGTTGTTTCCATATTCACAGCTCTTATGTTCCATAAAGGTCTTAGTAATCGACTAACAAATAAGTATAATCCATTATGTTTAGATGAGTATTGGACTGATGTTGTTTCAAAAGGTAGATTTGTTATATTTGTTTGATTAATCATTGATGCTGAAAGGATGCTCGAATTAATAACTACATATGGATCAACAGTTTTTTGATAGAAGATATATAGTGTTCAGTAAGTAAAGAAATGGGTTTTTATTGATCTAATTGTTTGCAATAACTGTCTAGTTTCTTTACTTATTGAACACCTGTACATAAATTATTTCACAATGTTATTCAGTCTAACAAAAATTTGGTTTTAGAATATTTCTGGGTAAAATTATAAACAAATAATTTAAATATCTAATAATTAACTTAGAAATTAGTCAAATGATTATTACTTTTTTTTTTTAAGATTTAATATATTCATTTATTTCTATAGAGTCAACTTACAATTGTTTTGTATAAACCTTTTTGAATCATTTAATGTATCTTGAAGATTTTCGGTGACTAATTTTGGTTCACCACCATGATTAAAAAATGCACGAGTAGCATACTCTTTTATCTATAAACATAAACAAAGTTGTCATTTTTTTTGTATCTACACAGGAAAAATTTATATTTGAGAACATAAAACATTAAATTATATTACTTTAATATTTTTTAATGATTGATCACAAATAATTGTAAGACAAGCTACACAAGCTTGATCATCAGAAAATGTTTTAAAATAACTCTTGATAGCATCAGTTTCGGATCCCTGACTAGCTGCTAATAACTCACAAAGTGTATCATAAGGACGCAACATTTCAAATATCTCTAGTCCCTAGATTAAAATAAAGAGTAATCAAATGTTAATAAATTAAGTAAATACATTTTAAATCAATTTAATTATTCAATTGTTATATAAATGATTGTTTATGTATTATATTACCTGAGGTGCCAGAGTTATGTATTCTTGGCGATTTTCAAACTGTTGACGAACTATAAGCGGAGGTTGTGGTACACCTGGATCATTATATATTAATAAATTTGGTCCAATATTATCCAAAGATAAAGGACAAACATCTAAATCCGAAATGAAATATCTTTCACTAAAGTTAGGACTAAAAGCATATTCATCTGGTGAAATGCACCATAACATTGGTCTATAATTAGTAATATCAGTTTCACATGCCATTAATACAGTACCTATTAAAATTTTTTTTATAAATTTTTTTATATTTCTTAATAATGAATAAAAAAGTTTATTTAACCTCTATTATATAATACATGTTGAACACTACTTGGTTTTGGTTCTCCAATGGATCTATTATAGCCTGGTGGTAAACGAATGTGTAAAAGCTGCAAAGTAAATGGTCTGGTTGAACTGGTTATTCCAGTTGAAAAGTATAGCCTAAATCCAAATTTAGAAACTGCCATAAGATGAATATTAGATGATTCAGTCTCTTCAATAACTTTAATGCTGCTAAGAGTTGTCACTTGAGCTACTTCCAGAGTTCTAAATTTGTAATTGTTTAATTAATTATTTAATTTTGTAAAGTTATATGTCTATAATATCATAGTAAAATATATTATACTTGCCTAAGCATTTTAGATACTTGATGTTCAAGATTAGAATATGATAAAGAAACCACACGACTGGTAGATTTTCCATCATATCCTAAATCATATAATTCTATTGTACTATTTTCAGATAATGTATAAATAATATGTCTAATATTATCAACAGCTATTTCAATAATAGCAGAAGGTTCAGTTATAGCATAAGACAAAAATGATGGTATAATATATGATAAAGTTCCAGCTGAATGACAAACTTTTTTACAGCGTCTCCCATTTCCAATAGAAAACCAACCTAAATCTTTCTAAATAAAAAATTAATAAATTTTTATAAGTGAATTATAAAATTAAAAAAAATTCAATCATTTTTAAGTTCAGTTAAAATATTGGTTAGATATATGCTACTAAAAACTAAGAGCATCAATTTTCCATTGTCTATACATTAGAAATATAATTTAAAAATCCTAACAAAAAGCTATATTATATATTTAAATATACCTCACCAATCTAAATACTAAAGTATAATATTTTATATTATTTATTATAAAAAATAGATTTTTTACTTAGTGCTATGCTAGATAATTAAAATAATTTATTTATTAAGAAATATTAAAACATATGAATGAAAATTAGAATAAATATAGAACCACCTGTAATACAAAGACCATACCCAATTTCTATATCTCGCTAACCAACCAGAGACAGAAATACAATATATATTGCAATATGATATTCATATAATAAGTGTATCTACTTTTCAGATATTTTGTTATTTATATTGGTCTACAATTTATTTGTGTGTATTTTATTTTATCAGTTTTAATCAAAACTTTATATTTTAATATTTGTATTACTAAAAATAATGTTTTATTATTTAAGTTATATGAAAATATAATTTTCTGTATTCTTAATTGTCAACTCAATATTTAGTTTTAAAGTTTAGAAGAAACAACGTTAATATTATAATTTTTTTTTTAACTTAAAAAAGTGGCAGTTTTTATTTAAGGCTTAGTACTACAGATATATTTTTTAGTTGATAATTGTCTGAAGATTAACAAAAGATGATACAATAAGGGTGCGTTATCAGTTTTAAGGAATATAAAAAAAATTATTTGGCCACACTAGTGATGATGGGGGTAGGAGTGTTTTTTTATTATATCGGTAAAACAATGTAAATCATAAAATGACTATAACATTATGTGATATAGCCCTTTTATGACTTACTATTGTTAGTAAGTATTATTTATTATTGTATATTGTTTCACCAATACAGACATAAATTTTAATAATTTGTGACATAACACACATTTTTTTTTATTTTAAATTTATAATATTTTTTTAAGTATCACTGAATTATAGGAAAACCCAATTCAAAAAAAGTAAGTTCTGTATCATATGTAGGCCTAATCTAAAGGCACTACATAACAATTTAAACAGGCAAAACATCAACTCACAGAGCTACTTTTGTAAATATTATAAAACAAGTTTTAAAAGTAAACAGTAAACTGAGTATGACAACTTACCAGGAGATAATAAAACATGTTCAGTCACAATTAATAATTTATTAATATTAGCTTATTAAAAAATTAAAAACAATTATTGTCTTAATATATTTTTAAGACAAAATAATTGGTTTTAGTTGAGAAATTTTTATTAATATAAATATAATGGTAAATCATGAGTGTTACCCAGTATTCAATTTCAAAGAGATTTCCATCTTCACTTCCAAGAAATATACGACCACTGTTTGTCCCAACAATTGTGGAAGTTATCATTCCTTCAGTGGGAACCTCATAAATAGTATCCGTAGTAAGTTCTAATTGTTCAATTGTTCTGCCTATAAATCAACAAGTCTTAAACAACTTTTTCAAAAAATTGAATTGTTAAGATATAAAATTTAATTTTATAAGATTGTTTGTATAATCTTAGTTTACCATTAGTTACTGAAATGAACAAGATTCCCAGCAATTCATGACATAAGTATGTCTACTAATTTTCATATATAATTTTATTTGATTATGCAATCTCAGAATGAGATTGCAATTAAATCAGAATGAGTGGAAATACAGTTAAAACCCTATTTATCATAGAGGCATAAGAAATAGCAAACTAGTTATAATGAAATATTTGATGAAGAAATTATGAAAATTGTAATTTTTCAGGAGATTAATATAAAATTTTTTTATGATAGTAAATGAAACTTTTAAATTCAAATCATAATAAAAATATAACTTAACTACCAATGGAACCAAAGAGTTATACAACTTAACACATTGAACATTTTTTGATAAAATTAATAAATATTCTAAAAATGACAAAATTAGATTCTGTGACTTTTATACAATAACCGTCTCACTATACAGAGTAAAGTTTTTATTATAATCCAGTCAATTACTCACAGAATAAAAAATAATTTAAACATTTTTTTTTATTATTATCTTTAGTTACACATTATTCTTGAATTATTAACTATGTAATACTTTTTAAGTTTATCCCACTGTCTTGTAAGGGAGTCAACTTTGTTCTTTTAAAGGAGAATACATAGTTTGAATTTAATAAAATGTTTGAGTTTTTAACTTAATAGCTAAACACATACTGTGCATTGATAATCGTAACATTGTTACCAAAATACATATCCGCGACTTTACAGTAATTTTTTGTGGCTTTTGAGTTTAATATTTTTTAGTTTTTAAATTAATAATATTTTTAATATAGTTTTAATTTTATTTAATTAATTAGTCACCAGTGATCAATTTTTATTATACTGACTATTATAATTTATTAATAAAAGTTTATAAAGATAATATTTATTTTTATTTTTCTCTTATAATAAAATAAAACATTGAAAAATTAGCCAATGCTGGAAAAATTACTTAACAGTATTTGATTTTCTCTATAATAAAATAGCTAGATGACGTTATTCTAGAAAAATTATTTAGGAAGATGAAAAATTTTTTCGAACAATACCATATTAAGCGTATACCAAATAGAATAGTAGAATCTGACCTTTCCAGCTAAACGTTACAGCTGAATGTCTTGCGCAATAATAATTTTATTTTTTGGACCCTTTACAAAGAAGTTTCATTTCAAAAACAATTCCAATCTTATATTTTTAATATTAATTTAGCCAGACAAATTGTTCAATTAAGTTCAAATAGTTAAATAAATTGATTTCATGAATTTTTTTATCACAAGTTATAATTGTTGTAAAACAGTAAAAAAAATGATGATGTGATACTATGTCGATAAAAAAATATATACTTTTTAATAAAACTTTATACTTCAATTTTTATTTTTAATAATATCATTGAGTAATGTCCTTTCAATGATAGGTAATCAAATATTAAATTAATAAGATATCATATAAATAAAATTAAATATTACCTTCAAGATTAGCAATTTTTTTAAAAGTTACACCCAATATTGCAATTTTCAATCCAGTAGCTAAAACTAATAAATGTTTTATATGAGCTTGAAAAACATTGGTTTTAGGTAGAACAAGTGCTACAGCAAATATAGTTGAACTCATTCCATCAAAATAAGATAAATCTGTCCTGAATTTTTTTAAATACATAAAAATATAAATTTAAAACATCAAATAAGATTAAAATAAATCATTACCCTTCATCATAGTCCCATAAGAAAAACTCTTGATCAATAGTTACCCAAACTCTGTTAATTTCAGGAAATATCCCTAATTTGCGATGGAAATTTTGAGCATCTATAAAGCAGTTGTAAATTACAATTTTATAAAAAATCATAAAAGAGTAAAAATTGTATTACCATTCCATTGCTCCAGTAGAGTGCCAGGTAATGGTATTTTGTGCCGTAATTTTAAAGGTGTAATTGAAGGGAACCCTAAAGAGTCTTTTGGGTAATCATATTCAGTTGAACCACTAACGCTTTGGCCTGCACAATAGATTAAAATCAATTAATTTATACCTTGTAAAAAATAAAATATGCCACCTCTACTTTATTACTTTTTAATCATACTTACAGTTATTAACTATATGCATTTTGTCAAATAATGTTGGAAATGAATCATCCACTAAAAAAAATTTATCCAGCATTTTCCCCGAAAGCTCTAAGCTTTCTTTCGTTGCAATAGACTGATTAGCAATAGATACAGAAGAGTTATCCAGACTTCTTGATATATTCATTTTTTGATGTCTTAGTAATACAATTTATAAACTATAAATTCAAAATACCAAACTTCTTAATTATCTAATAATAAAGTACTATGATTAAAATTCACTGTAATTTAATACTCATTACTCGATTAACTGCCTGAAATAATAATTAAAAAAGAAATAACACATACTTTATTAATACTTATTTATGAAATAATAAAGTAAAAAATAACTGAAGTAGTAAAATTAAAACAAAGAATGAAAAATTTAACTTTATGGAATTCTAAGTATTGTTTTCCGTTAAACCTTTTTCGGCTTAATCTATGATTAGAGATATAAATATAAAGTCAACCTGTAAAGGTTTAGTGGTACTAAAGAAAAAGCGGTTAACCTTAAACTTCAGAATGTTACATTATTGCATAGGGCTTACATATAATAATGATAACAACATAGATAATAAGTAATTAATATTATTTTTTTAATATCTCTAGTTAACAGGCCTTTTTATAATAATTATAAAAACTTCTGTTTTGTTAGTAGATAATAGAAATAATTAATGATATTAAACAATAGAATAATTATTATTCTACTTAAATATTATAATGTAATGGTAAAAATAGTAATGATAACCTATCACTGTATTCGTATTATCAATACTGATTTTTCACGTGGTTTTATTTACATATGAGTTAGAAAGTCGATTTCTGTCTATAATTTGCAATATAATTGCTAGGAGTGTATTTGGATTTTTTTTATAGAAAAGTTTTTTTTTAAGTTTTCTTAATACTTTTGTTAATTAAGATGATTTTTACATTTATAAATTAAATTTTTTATTTTTAATCGATAAATTATAGTACATTATAATTTTTAGGCAATATCAACTTCAAAATCTTTTTTTTTTATTTAAATTCGATCTATGTTTAATTAAATTTGTAAAAAAAGTAATTATAATAATTAATAAGTGAAAAACGTTTTTATTTATTTATTAGTATTTTCGTCTTGTTCATTTACAGTATGGATGTAAAACATCGGTTAGTAAACAATTTTTTTATGTGATAGATATACAATATCAATTGGTACTATATTTTCTAATATCATTTGAGCATGGGAATGTTCTCAAAGTGGGATAAAACTGCTACAATGACAAATGAATATATAATGAAGTTGTATTATAAAGGAGGAAATAAAAAATTTCTTGTGCTTCTACACTTAGACAAAACCCTGAGAATGCCTTTGCATTCCGAAAAGTTTTATCTTAGTATTGTTACGTCGCTATTTAGGGGTTTAGCCTAAATGCCCTAAATGCCCTAGTGCTGGACACCTAGAGATGATATAATCCAACAGGGAGCTGACGGCGACACACACACACACTATAATATACGGGGTAGCAAGTTAAGTTAATTATTAGACAAGTAGTGATCGCGAAGATGGTAAAAGGTCAACTGTCGATAGGGATATCTTATTATGGCACATTGGCCGTGAATTGCAAAAAGTGTTTATGTGTGCAGTCCGCCCTCCTGTTAGTATTGCTGTATGTCACTGTGTTAATTATATATATATATATATATATATATATATCTATTAAACGGTACAACGATGTTATGGGAGACAGAGATATGGGCACATGCAAATGTGATCGTATCAGCTGCTCCCCCTACACTTAAGGTCTGACCCTAGACCTTATAACAAAATAACTTTGGCAAAATAATTCTACGTAGGAAAAGAAAAAATATTTAAAATAAAAAAAAATTTGGAGGGACATTAGTGTCGTAGTAAGAACCTCTGGGTCTTCGATGTCCACACTCCTTAATTCACAAGCTTTTGAGCGTTGGAGGAGCTTCCTTCGTGTGGGCTCTCAATAGTCGGCTACCAAGCGGTTCCTATGAAAAGCCCGGCCCTGTCGTCGACTTCTTGAATAGTCTCGGGGCCCCAAAGAGTATTCTCCGTGTTCTCGAGGACTGTTCAGAACACTAACGCTTATTATTAAAAAAANTAAATATTTATTAAACAATTAAAATATTAAATAGATAATACAACCTGCTGGACACCTAGAGATGATATAATCCAACAGGGAGCTGACGGCGACACACACACACACTATAATATACGGGGTAGCAAGTTAAGTTAATTATTAGACAAGTAGTGATCGCGAAGATGGTAAAAGGTCAACTGTCGATAGGGATATCTTATTATGGCACATTGGCCGTGAATTGCAAAAAGTGTTTATGTGTGCAGTCCGCCCTCCTGTTAGTATTGCTGTATGTCACTGTGTTAATTATATATATATATATATATATATGTCTATTAAACGGTACAACGATGTTATGGGAGACAGAGATATGGGCACATGCAAATGTGATCGTATCAGTATTCTATATAAATTTATATAATTTAATTTATACCACTAATTATACAAAAACATAACACAATTTTTCTCAAATTAAAATCTTATACTATTTTATTTTAATAACATTTTAATGAATATTTATAACCTATTATAACAGTCATTCAGGAATTAGTTAAATTAAATAATGAAATTAATATAACTCTTTGCATGACGGTTGGTAATATATTGTTACAAAAATCATTACAAAGGATTAGAGGGATAAAAAATAAAAGCATTATCTTGATGACAGTTGATAACATAAAGTTATAAGCACCGTTGAAAGAGTAATGTATTAAATCTATAAGAATAGGAATAAAAACTTAGTATCAAACTAGTTGGCAATGCGAATACTAAATGACCAATATATATATATAGCTATTTTGTAAAAAAAATTTATATTTATAAAAATATATGTGTGCAGTTTAGGTAATTGTGAAGTTTGTGATGATGCTCCAGCAAAATATTGTTGTCCTAGGTGTGAATTAAAAACATGTAGTTTAGTGTGTGTCAATATCCATAAAAAAGAATTAGAATGCGATGGAAAAAGATATAAAACAGGATTTAAACATTTGGATAAGTTTACTGATAATGATATGAGCCAAGGTAAAATTTTAAAATTTTAAATATCATTATATCTGATATATAATTAAAAGGAGTGTATATTGCAGTAACTGATTTATCATTTGTCAAGACAACTATTTTATTTGTTTTTTTTTTCTTACAGACTATCAAGCATTTAATCATTTTAAATGTAGAATTTCTCTTTTTTTTTTTTATTTAAAGACTTATACAATTAGGTAATCCTGTATAATTGGTCCAGGGTAAACAGCTAATTTTTCTGCTTGTCATTATAAACTCTAATATTAGGTAAAGGGTTACTGCTATCTACATTGTGTCTCTTAAAATTTTTAATGGTTTTTTATTTGTAAATTTTGATAATTTACAAATAAATATTTTCAACATTTTACATTTATAGACTACAGACTTATCAATGAATTTATTGAAGCCATTGGAGAGTTTAAAATAAAAACACAACAAATTTCAAATTTATTACCAGTAAGTTGTTTTTTTTTTTTCAATTATTTTCTAACAAAAATCTTTTGTATACATTTATAATAATTAATATTTTGTGTTTTCCACATTCATACAAAATATTGCCAAAAACATTTTACTATTTTTTTAATTTTAGGGATTTCGAAAATTACGCTATCAATGCTTACGACGAAATATACGATTACACATAATACCCAATTCAACTATGAATAAAAACAATACATCATATGTCAATGGTAAAAACAATAAAATATTTTGGCGAGTTGATTGGATATTTCATGATACTAATATAAAATTTTCAGATCATAAGTAATCTTAAAATAACTTTTAAATTGTGTTATTTTTGTTAAAAAATTGATCATTTTTTACTTTAGAGTACCTGAATATCAAAGACTAAATATTTTAGCTAGAAATTATTTTACACCAGAATTTCATGATGAAAAAAATAAAGAAAAACTTCAGTTTTATTTATCAGCTGGCATTAAAGATGTTATGTTATTAATGAAAACTCCTTATGGAAAGTAAGATGTTATTTTTCTTCTTAGAATTTTTTTCATTATTAATTAAATTTTAACTTGTTATTCTATACATTCTTTTTTATTTATAGGGGTTGGCTTAGCCTTATAAATAGAAATAGAAGGGTGTAAAACTGATCATTTATTTATTCATCTAAAATAAAATATTTTAATTTTAAATGAAATGTTATTGGTTTATAGGTATTATGAACTTGATTCAGAAGAATCCCTTTTATATAATTTGAGAAATAAATCAATATTGGAATATCCTGAGATATTAGTTGTGTTATCAGTTCATAAAGATACATTTAGTGAACTTCTCCATTTTGAAAAGCCAATGTTTCATAGAAAACCAATGAATAAAAATTGTAATCTTACTTCAAAATGTAATGACTGACACAATATATAATGTCACAATACTATTATAATATTTCTTCATTATAATTATCGTTCAATAAATTTTCTAAATCAAGTTACTGACATAGATAAATTAAACTAACAATTTTTTTTGTAATATAATATTTTAAAATGTAATATATGTATATATATTAAATTACAATTCATTTTAAATATTTGTAAATGTTTACAAAATATTGTGTAAATAAATATTCTCAGTAAATAAAATACAAATAATTATATGTTAAAAGCTAGTAAATAAATGATTTTAATTTAAACAACATTAAAATCCTACAATGTTTGCTGGACAGTGTGTGTTGTCATTTTTTTAGCATATAATATAAAGAAAATCATGCAAATGTAATGTGTCTTGTTCAAATATTTTTAATTAAAATTTTTTTAGTGTTTCATCAAATTTTTTACAGTAGAAAATGATCTATTTTAGAAATTTACTAGTCGATAATAATTTTTGGACCAGTAGTTTGGATGTTATTCTCATTTTTATACTTATGCAGGACGAAGAGTACCACCGGTAAATGACTAGTGATAATAATAACAGCACCCACTCTCACATTCAGACATTACTTTAGTATTAAGATATAAAATCAAGTGGTATTGAAACAGAAGCCATTGATTTTATTATTTAAAAATACTTCGTTTTTCTTTTTCTTTTTTTTTATCGTTTTTGGCAATGTGGAGATACAAGTCTAATTTAATGATGAACCTGCATAAAAATAGTATATTCCTATGGGACCACCCAATTCACGTGGCATAATTTTAGCGATAAGACGTGTTTTTTATCGATACCGATATCAGACGTTTTAAAAATATTAACTTATTCATTAAGGATTCTTACGATTTTTACGATTTCTTTTAATGATTTAATTTCCACTTTTAAAATACTCATATAAGTTAATAACTAAATGTTATATATAACATGAATGGTAATATTTTCATGACATGCTAATAGTTACATATCTTTGCCCAATTGATACGTCTATAAAGAAAAAAGTCCTTTAAGGACAATTAAAATTTTACTTGAATATTATTTATTTATTGTTAACTTAAAAATTACATTTTTTTTTAAATTTCAATTCTTTTTGTCTATTATTTAAATTTTAAGTGCAGTTGCTAATATCAGGAAAGAATCCAAGAGTTATACACTGAAAAAACTCCTAGGTAAAATAAAATAAAATTTTTATCAATATATGTCCCAAATGATATTTCGTTAAATAAATAATACTTTTTCCATTATTTGAACCATTTTTTCTGTTAATTCAACATAATATTTGTTAATTTGATTAATTTTTTGTTTGTTTGACAAAAAATTGGTCACATTAAGAAAAAATTGTAATTTATTGAACTAAATATAAAATGAGTTGGATGTATTTCGATAATGTATTTGATGATTATATCAGAAGATTATTTCCAGTGTGCCTTTAAACTAATAATAACTCTGCAATTTAAAATTATGAGCAAAAAAAAAAAATATCCAATGCATTTAGGTAGTGTTTTTATAAGCGGCCCATACACGATAAATAATATTCATCAATATATTGTTCAGTTTCGGTCAAGCTGTCTAGCAGAGAAAACGTAATTATCGCTCTTGCCTTATAAAATAGGAAACAATCTAATTAAGAAAATAACTGGTCGAAAACAACTTTTGGACCAATATTTCAGAAGCTATTAACAGTTAAAAACGATGACTGAAGGCGAGTGGTAGGTACTGCTATTTTTATCACTAGTCATTTCTCGGCTGTACTCTTCGTCCCATCGAAGTATAAAAATGAAAATAACATCCGAAGTACTAGTCCATAATAGATGTTATAGACCAGTCATTTTTTGAATCAAATAATTTTCTATTTTATAAGTTAATTAAATATGTATGCTACCATTAAAAAAAAATTATGTTGACATCTCTATACATAATAATGGATTATCTTAAAAAGTAATTATTAACTGATAAATCAATTGGTAGTGTCTGGTATCTGTTGTAAACCCGCGATAATATCCGTCCGTCTATCATTTGCCTAGCCAAGAACCGTCTTCGACTCCCTGACTTGTAAAAGAGGAAGAACACCCTCTGTAGCATATTAGTTCGGGAAATAGAAGGATGTAAAACTGATTTTTTTTTCATTTATATAAATAAATGTAATACCTATAATTTTAATTATTTATATACAGAATGTTCAGTAAGTAATGAAATAGGTTAATTGTTACAAACAATGAGAACAATAGAAACCCGTTTCCTTATTTACTGAACATTCTATATAACATTATATACAGGGTGTTCAGTAAGTCAGGAAACGGGTTTCTATTGTTCTCATTGTTTGTAACAATGAGAACAATAGAAACCTGTTTCCTGACTTACTGAACACTCTGTATATTTTTTATGCCTTTGTTGCAATTATAGTACTATTATTTACTGTCTTAAACATTTAAATAAATTTTTTTCATGAAATGTTTAATTTCATCCAAAATAAATGACACAAATATTAAATAATATATAAATGATTTTTTAGATTAACTATTGTTTAAAGTATAGATGAATACATTTAAAATAACTAAATATTAAACAATTAATGTTTTGAATTAAATTATCTAAATGGTGTCGTTTATAGGGATATTAATGATATTTCCTAATTTCGAAGTAATCAAATTCAAAGTTTTCGTTTTTCATATAACAGCACGTAAAAAAGAATTATGTTCTTATATATATATAATGTTTATATACTATTATTTTGCACAATTTTATTGTTAGGTAAAACATTGTTACATTCTAAGCGATTCAAATAGAAACAGCTTGTATTTCACTACCAAAATTCAAACTACTCTACAAATTACTACAAGTACATAAAATATTAAATGTCTATAATCTTAATTAATTGTTCACAGTAATTTTGTACAGTTTAACTTCAGAAAAAAATTATTAAAATTATACCATACTCCATCAGTGCATTAATTCACTGATGGGTTTAATGCACTTATTATTTCTATTTAAAATATTAAATAGAAATAACCTACTTGAATTCAAACGCTCTAATTATTTTATATGATGAATGATTTTTCCCTGTTTGTATAGTAATTTCACACTCATTCAAACTACCCTGAAAGAAATAATAAAAAGCTATATTATTAAAAAACATTTTGCTTATTCATAGATAAAGCAAAAATATGTGGCTTTATAAAAAATAATGTGTGTACGTATCAAAAGTTATAAGTATTAAATTCCTCGCATTCCGATTAAAATAAATAACTGAACATTAATCTAAATGATTTTTTTTTCCATATAAAATATGAAATCAATTTTGATCCAAATACTTTTTATGATGCATATTAGTTTTTATTTTAATAATTTTACGCTTAAACACTAATTACCATACCCATTAAAATGAGGTGAAAAGGCAACAATTTCTTTACGGTGTAGTTGAGTAGCTCTCGCTCTTGCTAGTATTGCCATTACAGATCTTTTTGACGGATTTGTTGTTATTTTGGTACATTCTCCAACAATTAAAGGCCGTTTTCGTCCTGCAGTTTCTGTTAAAATAAATTAGTATATTAAATTATTAAAAATACTTTTAAAAATTGCAAGCTTTTAATTAAATTATTATACTATGTACCCTATACTTATTTTGTGTATATAAGTTAGTTATTGTAGGCGCTCCAATTATCTTATTAAAAATGTCTTTTTAAAACATATTTTGCTTTAAAATATTATAGATAAGAGGACTTTTTAAGTAACATCAAATGATATATTTTATAAAATACTTTTATTATTTAAGTACACTCAGTATTATCTATAGTTTACCTTATAATTTTTAATAAATTTTTATAGAATATTTATAACTATTTTATTTATTTAAGAAAAAATAGTTTAATTAATTTACAAATAAAAGCTAAGTTCCACAAATATGTTTTGCATTGTATATTTATGATAATAACACAATAAATAGCAAGTATGATACCTGTTTATAACTAAATTAGTAAAAAACGATTTATAATCTGAAATTTATAACAAAAATTTATCGATTTGTACATCGATTTAGTTTTAGTCGAGATATTTTTATTACAAGCATAGATAACCAAGTTTTTTAAAAATACATTTAACATAATAATAATGTAACTTTATTCCCCTCATAAATAACTGTTTTTTGTAATTTTTTAGCTATTATGAACTTATAGTATTCCTTAATTAAACATTAAAAGAATCAAAATAATGTATATTTGTTTTATATTATTATGGTTTTAGAAAAATATTTATTCAAGATTTATAAAGGGCCAAATTTTTGCTAATAGAATTATTTTTATGTCTTTGATTAACTATTTTATGGGAATAATCAAATTGAAATATATAGAGTGTGATTGATTTGTCATAGACCACTAAATTTTTCCTCAAATAATAATAATTTTGAGAATTTTTTTAATTTATTTTCTTTATTATTTATTTTATGGTTTATAAGTGATTAAATATTTTTAGGTCTATCTCTTATCGCTTACAAGGTTACCAATCTAATATATTAACTATCTTACACGCAAAAAAATGACTGATCGATAACAACTTTTGCTCATGCAGTTTAGGAGTTGTGCATATTTTTATACCTCGATGGAGATGTAGCACTTTAGAGAAATACATGATGACACAATTAACTTGCCCCGCACCTAGCAATCAGTCTATATAAAATATTTCATTTCTTATACATCGAGAAATCAATAACACTAAACAAAATTTTTTTGGAGTTATTATTTCAGGAGAAATTTAGTGGTCAACGATAAATCAGTCATTCTTTATAGCTATTAAAGAATACAATGAATAAAAATGTATTCAATTTTTATTATAATTAGAACATAACGAGTTACATTAGGTACTTTATTTGCAGACTATAATCTTCTTAACGCATTATACACATAATTTGAGAAAACTAATTTGGGTGAAGGTGTAATAACGTTAAATTTTAATTGTCATTTGAGAGAGCTGTCCCTATCTATAGCCAAATTACTTTTATTTATAGTAATTCAGTGTATAACCTGATTAATTATATATGAAGTGGTACCAGATAGTATCTTTAAAAAATTAGTATCACTAAACTTCACAATACGAAACAACATAAACCATATATAATGTGTCGTTAATATTAAATATATATTTAATAGATAATAAAAGTGTAAATAACTAGTTTTTCTTATCTTTATCATTATTGACAATAATTTTCTATATCAACACTAGTCATTTATCAATGTTTATAAATGTAAAAAAATAAAGATATCATTGACTTGTTAGACACCATAAAGATCAAAAGAACTATATGACTAGTGTTATACAAAAAAAAATAAGTGACTGTTGTTTACAACTTTTGAATCAGTATTTTAAAAGGTATTAGTATTTATACAGACATACGTTTTTCACATAAAATTTTTGTTTTTTTTATAAGAAACATTCTCATAAGATAGAGGAATATTTTCTGCTCCAGGGAATGTCCTTTGGGAAATTTTTTTAGTGGCACATTCACTAATCGGGTCTATTTTACAGAAAAATTAATTAAGGAAAAAATGCAAAAATTTCATTGCCTTAGGCGGATATGAACCTAGTTTCCTCAAGCGTGAAAGACACAAGTGTTAACGATTCGGCAACCATTCGTCACATTCATTGTTAGAAAAAATTGGCAATTTAAGCAAATTCAAACTTTAAAGTCACTTTTTGTGACTTAAAAGAAGCAAAAATATTTTAATAAGTTTAAAAATTTATATTCTATATTTTAATTAATAAATATTAATTAATATCAATTAAACTTATATAATATTCATGAAAATCAGTGTAGCCTCCTTATAAGGTATATTTATATAAATTAAAATACAATACCAAGAATTTCAACACAAAAATAGCATATTTTTGAATATGGTAGCCATTTTCACTATGAAGACAATCTATATTTCGATTTTTTTTTTTTCATTCTATAGTACATTACATTAGTTTTAATTTGATATATGTTTAAAGGACGTAGTATTTTCGGAACGTTTTCAAAAATTAAGTTGAAAAAGTTGAGTTTTGTAAAAAAGTTGCTATTTTAAATATCCTCTGTGAGATGTTTAAGTGTTAGATTTTTCAAAAAAATGATATCAAAGGAAAGGAAAATATCTAAAGTTTCAATATAAAAAATATTTATGTTGATTTGTTCATTTTTGAAAAAGTTATGGTAGTTTTAAGAAAAAAAAGCGAAAAAAATGTCAAAAATTACTGATTTATAAAATTGTAATTTTTTTGGAGATTTCCTCCATTTACAGGGAACGAGGGAAAGTTTTTCAATTTTTAAGGGTAATATCTTCAACTAGATACGTTTTGTGATCTTTTGACATATCGCTGAGAAAAATCGGTTTAGTGAGAGCTGATAAAAAGTAGTGACAGACACAAAAAAATAAGCACATCATGATAAAATTAATACCTTCTGGCTTCTCATCGAAGCTAAAAAGTTGAAAAGAATATTCTCGATCTTTGAAAATATATATTTTTTTAATTTTTACGGTAAGTTTACATCACTAAACACGACATACATATTTTGTCGGCATAATATAAATTGTTTTATATAGACCTAATAACGTTGATATTGTTTATAATATCAAAGCAAAATAAATTAATTATACCTGAACATTTGATAATTGTTTGGTCAGTATTACGTTTAGTATGTACAGGCGAGTAATCACTAATCGAATGAGAGGTACAGAAATTAAGCCCATTATCATCTACAGAATGTAATGATAATCCACTTTCTCCAGTATCTGAATCTGTCGCATCGCATGAATTACCATTTGTCTGCATTACTTGCATTTCCCACATTTGCTCTTGACGAATTTCATCATTATAATCCTGTAAATAATCCAGATTCATTTTTTACACTAATTTGAATTTATTAAAACATTATTAAAACTAAATTATTTAAATATTTTCAAAAATGAGTGTATTAATTATTTTGAACATTTTTCAAAAATATACTTTTTAAAAATGTTGACCAATTTTAAGTTACAATAAGACTGCTTTGAGTAAGAATATTTATGCATTGTAACTACCGGTACTAAAAATCGTCGAACTTCTGTCAGTGCAAATGCTATACGAGCATGTGCTTCTGCAGCTGGTGCAAAAGCAGTTATTTCTATGTGTAAATCATCTTTAAGATGTGAAAATTTTGAATCACCAGAATTGCGTAACTTTTCTTCCTAAACAAAAAATTACAATTTTTTTGTACACAATCGAGCTTTAAGGAAATAATTTTTACATTATCATGTAAAATAAGTCTACAATAAATAGAATTTTGCGTACTTCATATAGGTTAATCTTTACAAATTATAAGATAATAATTCTAAAAGTAGCTAATTGTAATTATCTGTTTATATATATTTGTTATATTATTAACCAATATAAGTTAATCCATTAAAAAAGATCGGCTAAATTGATTACATCACTTTTTAAGTTGCTTTTTTTAAACTGAAACTTTTAAGGACATAACAATATTTTTAAAATATTGAATTTTTTGTATTTCTCTTGTTAAAATTTAGCGTATCTAATTTATTACCACTAAAATGGAAAACTAACGTCAAACGTATGATAAGGATAAGTTAATAAAGAGATACAAACAATTGTAATTTATGTTAGAAATCTAAATATTATCAGCAAAATAATTAGATTTATTTTGAGGTTCGAGTTGTTTGAGTTACATGTTTTATATTTAAAAATGGAGTAAGAATCTACATTGTATCTAGTGATGAGCAAAACAAGAACAAGACCAAGACTGTCAAAGTCTTGGTCATAATCTTGTTCTTGATAGCTCAGTCTTGGTCTTGGTCTTGCTTTGCTAACTCAGTCTTGGTCTTGGTCTTGCAAATCTAGTCTTGTTCTTGTTCTTGGTCTTGCTTATTTAGTCTTGTTCTTGTTCTTGGTCTTGCCCATAAAATCTTGTTCTTGTTGTGAGTCTTGTCACAATACTCTTGCAAAATCTTGCATTCATTTATATTTGTAAAAATTTTCTACTTAAAAGGTTTAAATAACGAAGTTATCTACTTCAGTTTGTAAATTCAAATTTAATTTCTATGCCATAGGATTTTTAAGTTAGAACTTAATATTAGCATAAACAATATGGATGATTTTTTTATGAATAGTTTGGGGTATTAAAAAAAAATAAACAAATAAATTAAATTATAAAAAAATAAGACGTTATTTAAACAAAGTATTTTTTCACTTAAAACTGATGGCGTGATATTGTCCGAATGGTAATGCAGCGGATGTGCGGTCGGGGGGGACGCGATTTTGATTCTCCTAGTCGGATAATTTTTTTGCATTTTAATTAATTTTTTTCATTGAATAATGAACATGAATATATTTATTTTATGAGTTTACCAGTCGCCGGTTTTATGTATCGATTTTTAAAACCGGTTTTAAATAATAATCGCTTTCTGTTCATAGACACAGTTTTTAAAAATTATTGGTTTTGATTAACAAAACCGAAAAAAACTGTTATAACCAGTTTTTATAAAACCAGTTTCAGTCTCCGCTTTAGAAGTAAACAAAAATTTTATCTAATTTTATCATAATGTTTGAAGCACGGAATATTTATTTTTAATATTCTTTAATTATTTAAAATTAATTAATTACAATTGAATGACAATAAATTTTGAAACATGATTGTAAAATTTTAAGTTAATCGGTAACGTCAGCTCATAGGTAATATTTAATTTGAACAATACGCGTAATCAATAAAAATCAAAGTAAAATTTAATATTGTCGAATCTGTCATTAATAATCTTAACGATTTTAACCAACAACAATTTTTTTTTTTTTTTTGCAAGAGTGCAATACTCTTGCAGTTTTATTCTTGTTGTTGCAAGATTCTTGCATTTTGAGTCTTGGTCTTGTTCTTGCAAGTCTAGTCTTGTTCTTGTTCTTGGTCTTGCTAAAAAAGTCTTGGTCTTGTTCTTGTCAATTGAGTACAGTCTTGATGTTGGCCTTGCTGATATTATTAAAGTCTTGGTCTTGTTCTTGGTCTTGTAGAAATGCAAGACCAAGCCAAGACCGCAAGAACAAGAGTAATTCTGCTCATCACTAATTGTATCTGATTATGATTATGAATAGCGGAGAGAGGAATCGTTAAAATCGGGTTTATAAAGTATTTTAAATAACTATATATTAAATATAAAGTGTCTTTTTTTATCAAATCAACATTCATTGTTGCTATATTTCTTAGATTATTGTAAATTATTTTTAACTAGGAACGCGCTTGAACAAGGTATGGCCCGGCCATCAATAGGTAGAAATGCCCAAGTTGATATACCCTAAATAACGTCCTTGGAATAAAAAATTATAATTTAACTAATTTAGAATAATATTTCCAAAACATGAGTTATTAGAAATACAACTTGATGCTAAATAAAAAAGTACAGCTATATTTAAGTTGATTACAATCTCGTTCTCAAAATTATTGCTATTTTGGAGTAAAACTAACAACGATTATGTTGTTTAAAACATAAATAGCAATGTTTAATTTGAATTCCTTTGTCATTAGATAAAATATTTTTGTGGCAATCAATTTCACTACTATTAAAATATACTATTCTCAAAACGACATAATACCTAGTTATAGGTTCAAAGAAGTATCATTTCAGCCTCGAAAATATTATTGGTATCAATAGTCTATATGTCTATATACTAGTCCTATGTGAAATTCTATATGAAATTATGTATGATTACAACTACAACTAGGATTAAAACAACTTTAAATTTTTCTGGTGTATGATTTAGCGCTTACAGAAAAATGTACAATAGATATTTTTAATAAAATATTTTCTAAAAAAAAATGTTATAGTGTAATTGTATATCAACGAAATTAATTGAAATATTGTTAAAACTTAGTAGAACAATTATAATGCTGTATAAAATTTGTTGCTATAAAATTTAATAGAATATAAGATAAGGTTATAAAAAAATCTATACATTGATAATAAATAGAATTGATATATATATATATATAATATGAAAAAGTTCAATACAAAAGCTACGAAGTTTATTTATGTTCAATGTATATAATAGCTACAATACTTGGTTTTGAATCAAGAGCTTGGATTTAATTCACTATCAGAAGTATAGAACATACCAGTCTGCCGTACACCACATTATTTTATAAAGCAAACCTATTATACACGCACAAGTATGCATGATTAGATATTGAATAATAGAGTAAATAATTTGTAGTAGTGCACATGAAGTGAGATCGATAATTGCTTGTCATTGTAAGAAGAGTTATTAAAGATGTGAAGAATCCAATATATTGAACAAAGGCTTTTTTTACCTTGCTTCTGTCTCGCATAGATCCTCTCCCAAGAATTGCCATTTTTGTGATTGTTTCTTCTTGTAATCTTTTTAATGAATTTCCTTTTGGGCCCAATAATTTTCCAACAAAATTGAACTGTTATTAGACAGAATAAAATGTATTAAAATAGAGTGAATGTATTGAATTATAAGTCATTGGTACAGTTGCGTCTACAAACTACTTTTATAATGGAAAACTGTAAAAAATAAATATTTAGAAATTCTAATATTTTTGGATTGCTTAGTCTTTTTTATCCATCAGAAGTTAAACTTATTAAATTACCCCAAAACATACATTTTGGTACTATTATACAATTATTGATCTTAAGTTTTTCATATCATATACAATATAAAGAACTTGACTTTTATTAAGAGTAATCGTCTATTATCATATGCGTGTTTAGATTTAATTATTAAATTTAATAATTTCTGTGTTTATAAACTTGCGATGGAAATCATTAAAACTGCAAAACGATGATATGAATGAATGTTCTTGAAGAAGGATAAATATTTAAACACGGTAATCATATATGTGTTTTCTGAATATACACTTATCAAATTTTAAGTATGTACTTTCTATGTCTAATTATAAATAATGTCTCCCTCGTGCATACCTTTGGATGGTCTCTAGCAGGTACTGCAACTTTAATAGAAACCTTAATTGGTTTGTCACGTGTTATATCAATGATCCGTCGAACATTTTCTGTTTTACTTTCATTTTTTATGTCTAAATCAATCAAAACAGTAGTTATTTAACATAACAAGATTTTTTAAATTAATGGTTTAAATCAAGAATCTAGTTTCGAAAAAGAATCTCTTAAGCATTTTAATTTTATAGATAGACTTTCTTAAACTTGGACCGTATTACAGTTGACGTTGTTTAAAACTAAGAAACTTAATAGAATGTGAATAGATATCAAAAATAGTCTGAAAAATGAAAGTCGACTTAAAAGTAAAAATACTAATTATAAAAAATAAAATAAAATGTTTTATGACTTAAATTCGTTAAATATCTCTTTACAAATTATAGCGTTTTAAAATTAATTATTGTCGTCGGGTTTTCAAAAGAATATAAGATTTTTTTAAGATAATAGTATGAATATTAAATTTTAAGTGTTCTAAACAAAACGTGTTATACTAGGTGCGAGGGTTTTACGGCTTAAAGAATGGTGGATAGATAGCAAAAATGTTTTGGAAGTTATGCTGTACCAGGCACAGAACTCTGTTGAAAACTTATATACATTTTATTTGAACACGCTAACCTGACGCTATGGTAAATACTTAATGGTAATCGAAAATTGAGATCTGGTAGTAATTCTTGTCATTATTGCTAATATGAATTAAATTAAATATGTTACGGAAAACAAATATATTAAAAATGGACATAATTTCATAGTATTATCTAATACTCATGTATACAGAAGCTTAAACTTAAATTTGAATAGGTTAAATGTACATTTCAAGTTGATAACATAATAAATTTGAAAATATACTTATGAGTGTAAATTTTATTTTTGAAATCATAAAAAACAAAATAATGAAAATTTTTTATGTTATTAGTTAAAACTTGCAACATATAGCTATTACACGATAATTTTTGTTTATTTTACTGTTCAATTTGATAATTAATTAAAATGTAAAATTTTATATTATTAAAAGTATTAGCAATAATACTTTTCAAGTATCTTAAAATCTTAATAATTAAATTGTCTTTTATTATTTTTGTTGTTGGGTTGTTATTTTTTTTTTTACTATTTAGCATAAATAGAATTAGGATTTAAATAATTTGACTAATAACAATTGAGATTATTTTAATTTTCTAACCATATACACGCACATTGGTATAACTAATGATCATTGGTTAATTATTTATTTCCAACTTTTATTGAGTACCTGATTGAGTCAATGAATTTAGTTTTTGAATTCCTAAATTCTCCATGTCTGGTGTTATACTTCGTTATTAGACCAAAGAAATGTAATAATTTTCCAGTAAGATTATCTGAAAAAAAGTCACACAGAATTTCTTTGTACAGATAAATTTTATTTTATTGAAATGAATTATATTTGGACAATACTATATCTAAAATGTATGAAGTGCTTAAAACTGATTAAATGGCCGCCCCAAATAATTGGGATTAAGGCGAGGAAGATGAAGAAGAGAAGAAGCTTAAAGCTGATTAAAATATAATGTTAATATTTTTTTAAGAAAAAATTTGTTTGTTTTTTAGTTCAATATTAAACAAATACATTATAATTAATATATAATCCAAAATTTTGATCGCTACTATTACTAGAATAGTAAGTTTAATTTAAAAATGAAAATTATATTTAACGTTAAGAAGAAGAATCATTACAGAGTTCTATATATGTGCAGTATACGTATAAAAATAAATTTTGTCATGTAAGTCGTACACAACAAAATTTTATATATTATCGTTACAAGGAGACATATAACTAACATGAAAAATGTTCATATTTAATATAGATTTATGAAAACACAATAGGTATTAAATAAAGTATTCTTATAAACGATTCCAGCTTAATTTAATGACTTTAGTACACTTGTATTATAGAAACGAGGTACAGTAGGCTAGCCAGTCCCAATAATACCCAAAAACTTTTAATTTGTCAGTTAAAAGAACACTCTATCTTGAATTGCAAAACATATTCTTTGCTCATTTCAAATAAAACTATTCTTACATTTTAAATTACAGGCTATTTAACTAATGAGGGTCTATTCTAACACAAATGGAACATTAATGAATAACTGTTAACAAACCCATATCTAAAGCTTATTTTTAAAGTAAACTAATAATTTTCACTGGTAGTTTTTTACTTTTCATAGGTTTAATGAAATGACTAGTGTGTACTATTCACTAAAAAAATCAGATATTTCAAATATCTTCTATAAATTAACATACTTTCATTAAACACTAACGTTAAAGAGATGACTAGTCACATCACCAATTATTTTTGCTCATTGTCCATCATTATCTCTCTAGGAATATTTAGATATGAGTAGTTTTAAGAAAATAACTACGATAACCAACTAATAATTAAAGAATCACTCTCACCATTTTTTCACTTATTCTTGATTATCACATGTCTATAACACTTGTAGTTTATATATGTATTTAAATTAAGATATCTAATTTAAATAAGGTATCTGAAATACAACTTAAACTACATTAATATCCGATCTAGAAAAATTGACTATATATAATATATGTATATATATATATATATATAATTTTCTATATATTTTTTTTACTTTAAATAACTATGCAACTATTAATTTATTGTAAACTTCTACATTTACTTACAGCTAATGGAAAATCGCAAATAAAGAACGTCACTAACTGTTCATAATGTTAAATAACATAACTAAAATATTTTTTTAATTTTTACATCACTCTGGTTAGAAGTAAAACTTGCACTGAACTTCCAAGAAGGATTGCATTCGTACCTTCCCCTCGGGTAACGATTATTACGCTATCTCGTAGTTATTCTCTTAAAACCTTTTTTTATAAAATGCATGTTTAAATTATTTAAGTTACATCATTTTTTGGTCCTCTTAATATTTTTAATTTTTAAGCATTCCAGGTAAAAATAAACTCTGAAGGTAATATTTTATAAAATAATGCAAAATGTGAATTTTAACCATTAAAAATACAATTTTTGGTCTTACCAAAGATAAATTATGCCGAGAGGGGAACAAACAAATTATGTTTGCAAAATGAATATTTTTTTTTTAAAATTATGTGACCTTAAATTTGTTTTTTTTTCTGTAACATAGTAATATATTCAAAAATAATATTGGTATACACTCACATTCGCACTCCTTAAAATGGTTTTAATTTTATTGTGTCAGCATTAAAAATAAATAAGTAATACCACATTATTGACAAATGTTTTTTTAAACAAACTTAACAAAAAAATCATTGCTAAGAGTTAAAAAAAATTAATTGTTGAAATTAATTTTGAAATCCAAATTTATTTTTTAATTAACCAGATTTTCTATAATTTTGGTTGAATCGATCAAATAAATCACTAGCTAGACTTTAAAGACATTCATTTTAGCCACATCAATGCATTAAATTTTAGTATTTTTTATTAATATTATTATTATTATTTTTAAATACATACATAATAGCTTTTTTAATCAAAAGGATTTGTGTGTAGTTAAAAAATATAAAATCATGAAAAGATAGCGTTTTCTTTTGTCCTTTTCTCAATACGTATTTTAATGTTTAATACCGTAAAATAATACATGAAAATTCAAATTTTCACAAACTTCAAAACGCTACAGAATATTTACTACTGAATATTAATAAGATATTTTTTTACTAAAATTTTTCTTAAATTCTACTCTACAAAATAGCTATCTTAGATTTTTTTTTTATATTTTATTTAAAATTTAAAAATAATTAATATTTTTAATAAAATGTAAAAAAATTAATTATTGAGATATAGCTATAGACCTAACGTATTATTTAAAAAAAAAATCAGCTAAAATTATTAACTGGATCAAAAGTTATTTAAGTTGTCAGTGAGTGGTAGGCCACTCTTTATAAAAGTATCAGTATTTCCGGAACACTTTCAAAAGTTAAGTTGAAAAAGTTGTCATTTTGAATCCTCCCCTGTGGGCAGGTAAAGATTCAGATTTATAAAAAAAATATACCAAATGATAGTTAAAGACATCATGCATCCATAAAAAAAAAGAATTATGTTGATCCATACATCTTTCAAAAAGTTATAGCATTATAAAGTTAAAAATATAAAAAAGAATTTTTTTACAAAAATCGTAATTTTTTTATTAACTTTGATGTCTGTTTTTACCATGAAAATGAAATAAAGTCCGAAATTTTTTTTTCCCTAATAAAGTATATTATATTAGCTTTAATTTAAGATATATATAAAAGTGTCAGACTTTCCGGAACATTTTCAAAAGTCAAGTTAAAAAAGTTAATTTTTGTGAAAAAGTTGTAATTTTANAAAAAAGTTAATTTTTGTGAAAAAGTTGTAATTTTAAATCCCCCCTCTGTGGGCAAGTAAAGAATCAGATTTATAAAAAAATATACCAAATTAAAGGTAATGATATCATGCATTTATTTAAAAAAAATATATATTGATTATTATTAATAAAAAAAAAAAACACATCATAGTAAAATTAATACCTTCTCCGCTTCGCATCGAAGCTAATAATAATATTTATCACTCATTTTATGAAGTAAAATAATTGTGGCGAGTTGTTTATATTTAAATTATTTATAGTGTAATTATTAATTACAGCATTATAATGCTCCGAATAACTGTTAAATAATAAATCATTCCAAATTTCTCTTTAATATCTAGATAATAATTTTTTACTACAATTAAACTGCAAAAAATATATATTTATTTATTAATTATATAAAACTGTGTAGCGCGTATTGTATTGTAACTTACAATACAGTTTTGTACAGTTGTAGTCCAATTTAACGAATTTCATTGTTCACATCTTATGTACTTTGTTTTTACTTTGTGCATCCATTAATATATTATATGTTTACGCTGTTATATATTAGCTCTATCTTAATGAGATGAAAAGAGTACTGCAATATAATGACTTGTTTCAAATAAATAATTTATTAAGTATCATCTTCATAAATATTCAAGAAAAATAAACAATTTTCTATTTAGTACGACTTTTAAAGATATTCTCCAATTAAAAAAGTGTGTTCTTTTTATAGTACTGATTAACAGTCAAAAAATTATTATCATAGTATGTAAAATCTAAAAAGTCTAAAAGGTTGCTGATTTTTAATACTTATTTTGTTTTTTGATATTTTTAAGAAAAATCAACTAGATTTTTAGTAATATAAATAAACCCAAGTAAGTTTCCTATTTAATTATTCTAACCTTGAGCACCAACAAATATACATACTCACGCATGAGAGATGAAAGCTTTTAAGCAAAATTTTTTTATAGTATACAAGATGATTCCTTTAACCCTAACCACACAATTTCATTTATAATATTAAGTTTTTTTTAACAATTATTTTCGGTTTTTGATAGCTACATATGTATTTTCATTTATCTGTTATAAAATAATTTTTTATTCAGTCCTTATATATTAAAGGAGCGTGAAAATTATATGGTAATTAAGAAAATGACTGGTGGATAACAACTTTTGGACCGGTATTTTAGAAGTTATTAACAATTTAAAGTAATGACTGGGTTCTGCCACTTTTATCACTAGTCATTTTCATAACGTACTCTTCTTCCCGCCTAGGTATGAAAATGAGAATAACTCTTAAACTACTGGTTCAAAAATTATTATCGACGAGTCAATTTCTTAAATAGATCATTTACTATTTTATAAGCTAGTTTAATATGTATGCTGCCAATTTAAAAAAAATAAATTTCACACCCCTATAATATATAAGGGATGAACCTAAAATTTTTTTTATAACATATAAATGGAAATATATGTGTAATTAAAAAACACCGAAAATAAATGTTTATTAATACTTAATATTTTAAGAGAAATTGAGTGGTTAGTATTAAAATAATCACTCTGTGTAGATGGTATTTATTCATTAATTTTCTACTTAAAATTTGTAGGATTAATATTATATTTGATTAAATCATCACGAAAAATTCATAGAACTTTTACTGAAATGAAAAGTTAACTATGTAATTTCTTTTGTCTTAGGGGATGTTACATTCTTATCCCCTGTCATGTCACCAGTGGTTTTATGAGAGAAAAAACAAAAATTTATCTTTAGAAGATTTTAATGCTTATTTAATACATAAAATCGACTAAACATTTGATGTTAAAAATAAAATATTTTTTCTTTTATACATAAATATCTATACATCTTTATACATAAATTCTGAGCAGTTTTTGTTTCTATGTTAATAAAAGTATATTATTCTTTATATAAATATTTATTGTAATATATTAATATTTTTTGTAATAAGTATCTCTTATAAAGAATTTTTGAATTAGTTATAATAATTTTAGAATGCATCCTTAAAGATTTAATTTTCAGGGAAAGACGACAGGGGACACTTTTCATTTAGTTAGATGGATATGTAAATTTATGTATTGTCCCAAAATATATATTTTTCAAAGTCAATGTAATTTTATTCAATTTAAACTCCAATTACTAAAAATACATTTCAAAAAATACGGTTAGAACAATCATATAAAAGGTTAATAATATAATGACAACTGCAATTATGATAGTTGGAATAACTGATTTATTTATATAATCAAACTATTTTTGTTAGAGTTGTTACTATATCAACTGTTCATTTTTTCCATGTAATTAATATGTTATTTCATTGTAAAATGTCAAATTATTCCTATAAAAGCCCCAAAAATTATTTATTATTGTTTAAAACTCTTGAAAAGTACAAATAGGAAAATTAAGTATAATTTTAGCTTCGATGCGAAGCTGAGAAGGTATTGGTTTTACCATGATGTGTTTATTTTTTTTTTTTTTTGTGTCTGTCACTACTTTTTCTCAGCTCTCACTGGACCGATTTCTTTTAACAATACGTCAAAAGATCACAAATTGTATCTAGTTGAAGACATTACCCTTAAAAATTTAAAAATTTTCCCTCGTTCCCCGCAAATGGGGGAAATATCCAAAAAAATTACAAATTTAAAAATCGACAAATTTTGTCATTTTTTTCACTTTTTTTTCTTAAAACTTCCATAACTTTTTCAAAAATCAACAAATCAACATAATTTTTTTTTAAACTAAAACCTTAGATATTTTCCTTTCATTTGATATAATTTTTTTGAAAATTTAACACTTAACCTGCTCATGGGGGGGGATTTAAAATTGCAACTTTTTTACAAAAACTAACTTTTTCAACTTAATTTTTGAAAATGTTCCGGAAATACTGCGTCCTTTAAACATATATCAAATTAAAGCTTATTTTATGTACTATAAAATGAAAAAAAAAAATTTGTCCCGACACCCTATCTTCTATGCGCAAAAGGCTACCGTATTTAAAAATATGCTATTTTTTATTAAAATTCTAGGTTTTGTATTTTATTTTATTTTAAAATATTTTATTAGGGGAATAAACTGACTTTCATGAATATTATATAATTTCATTGACATAGAATAAAGTTCATAAGACATATGATATTATACTTATTAACATTTTTTACTTTTTTAAAGTCGAAAAAGTAATTTTTAAATTTGAGTTAGCTTAAATAGCCAATTTTATCATGCAACAAAAATCAACGAATAGTTGCCGAATGGGTAACATTTAATCTTTAACGCCTAGGTACGAGGTTCAAATCCGTTTGTAGCTTCTAAAATTTTGCATTTTTTTTTTTTGAGTTAGAATAGAATTTTCAAATCATTTGATATTTATCTCATTTAGATTCAATAATTTCAATAAATATAAAGGATCTTATCACTATAGTCTCCCCTCGTGAGAAGAAATTGATATTCATGTTAATATTATTTTACTATGTGGTTCTTTTTCTGGCTACGATTTATTTTGCCAACCCTCACTAGACCTACTTTTTTCAACGATACGTCAAATGATTCATTTAAGTTTATGATATTTAAGTTAATGATTAGTTTAAGTTATTACTCTTAAAAATCAAAAAAATATTCCTTATTCAAATAAAAAGTAGCTTAACTAGATTTGTCCATACAAACAATTAAAATCATTAATTTTTAATATTCTTAAATTATTTATTGTCGAATTAAATTTGATATGATAAAAGTATTCAACTACAAAAGTAAATAATTTTACTTTATAATTTATTAATTTTTTAACTCTATTTCTGTGTGCTACTACCAGTCTATAATATGCCAAATTTTTTAGTAATATGTTGCTATATAAATCATAAATTTAAAAAAAAAATGATTTTTNAGCTTCGATGTGAAGCGGAGAAGGTATTAATTTTTTTTTATGTCTGTTGCCACTTTTTCTCAGCTCTCACTGGACCGATTTCTTTCAAAAATACGTCAAAAGATCACAAATCGTATCTAGTTGAAGACATTACCCTTAAAAATTGAAAAAAATTCCCTCGTTCCCCGTAAATGGGGGAAATATCCAAAANTTACCCTCGTTCCCCGCAAATGGGGGAAATATCCGAATTTTCGAAATTTTTTCACTTTTTTTTCTTAAAACTTCCATAACTTTTTGAAAAATAAACAAATCAACATAATTTTTTTTTATACTAAAACCTTAGATATTTACCTTTCATTTGATATCATTTTTTTGAAAATCTATCACTTAACCTGCTCATTGGGGGGGATTTAAAATGGCAACTTTTTTACAAAAATTAATTTTTTCAACTTAATTTTTGAAAATGTTCCGGAAATACTGCGTCCTTTAAACATATATCAAATTAAAGCTTATTTTATGTACTACAAAATGAAAAAAAAAAATTTGTCCCGACACTTTTTTTTCTACATTTAAACGGCTGCCGTAGTTAAAAAAACACTATTTTTGTGTTAAAATTTTCGATTTTCGATTTTAAATTTTCAACTTAAAAATGCTATAACTTTTTGAAAAATGTGTATATCAACACAAATTTTTTTTTCTAAATACATTATAAGTACATCTTTCATTTGACATACTTTTTATTAAAATTGGACAATTTCCCCTTATATAGGGGGCGTTCAAAACTTAAAATATTGTAAAAAACATAGATCTTTTTCAACTGAACTTTTGAAAATGTTCCGGAAATACTGCGTCCTTTAAACATATATCAAATCAAAGGTTATGTTATATACTATCAAATGAAAAAAAAAAATTTGTCCCGACATCTTATCTTCTATGTGCAAATGGCTGTCGAAAATTTAAAAAAAAATGTAATGTTTGCGATAAAAATTACATTTTATCGGGATGTTTTTTGTACTTAAAACTGCCATAACTTTTTCAAAAATGAACAAATAAAAATAATATTTTTTTGTATTGAAACCTTAGATATTTCCCTTTCATTTGATATAATTTTTTTTGAAAATCTAACACTTATTCTGCTCACTGGGAGGATTTAAAATAGTAACTTTTTTACAAAAAATAACTTTTTCAACTTAATTTTTGAAAATGTTCCGGAAATACTGCGTCCTTTAAACATATATCAAATTAAAGCTTATTTTATGTACTACAAAATGAAAAAAAAAAATTTGTCCCGACACTTTTTTTTCTACATTTAAACGGCTGCCGTAGTTAAAAAAACACTATTTTTGTGTTAAAATTTTCGATTTTCGATTTTAAATTTTCAACTTAAAAATGCTATAACTTTTTGAAAAATGTATATATCAGCACAAATTTTTTTTTTCTAAATACATTATAAGTACATCTTTCATTTGACATACTTTTTATTAAAATTGGACAATTTCCCCTTATATAGGGGGCGTTCAAAACTTAAAATATTGTATAAAACATAGAACTTTTTCAACTGAACTTTTGAAAATGTTCCGGAAATACTGCGTCCTTTAAACATATATCAAATCAAAGGTTATGTTATATACTATCAAATAAAAAAAAAAAATTTGTCCCGACATCTTATCTTCTATGTGCAAATGGCTGTCGAAAATTCTAAAAAAAATGTAATTTATACGATAAAAATTACATTTTATCGGGATGTTTTTTGTACTTATAACTGCCATAACTTTTTCAAAAATGAACAAATAAAAATAATATTTTTTT